GGGGTTGGGGGGGAGGCGGGAAGTCTGCTGAAAAGTGAGCCAAGGCAGAGCTGGAGCAAACCGCGCAACAGCCCACCCTCGACGGTGTATGGCCCACCCCAGCCTGCCTGGCCTGCGCGCGTCGGGGCCCCGGGGCCAGCGTGATGCCGGTACCACCCGTGCTGGGCTGACCTGCCTGGTGGGACGTGGCAGTTGGCCAGCTTGGTGCGGGCTCCCGGGGCAGTGGGGACTGTTTGGCAGGTGCCACCCGCACATTGGGGGTGCTGGGGGGACGCCCAGGCCCCCAGAAGCAAATAACTTGCCCAAGGTCACAAACTCAGCTTCCCTGAGCCCTGATGAGACGCTGTCCGTCTTGGGAAAAACCGTCTGTGTGAAAAATGATCCACACTCGCAGCTGCGGGGAGGCTCTGCCCCCGCTCACCTTGGCAGGATGGGCCCATCCTTTATCTCAAGCTTTCTGCGCAGAGCTGGTGACAGCAGCGAGGTCAGGCCCAAAGCAGCCCCTGAAGGGCCTGCAGCACATGGAGAGGGATGAGCGCCGGCTCGGCGTCCGGGCTGCCGACAAGCCCCGGGTGTGGCTCCTGCTCACGGCCGCTCCGGCCTGGCCCTGCCTGCGTCCTGGCGCCGTGGACAACACGGTGGCTTTGGAGCCACCCACCCGACGGCGGGTCCTGGGCACCAGGATGCCCCTGAGTTCTGCTCTCCCCCCGCCGCCCCCCAGTCCCACCACGGTGCTCTGGGCCAGGGCAGAGTAGGTAACAGCTTCCTACGGGCGCGCCCTGTTTTGAATCGCGCAGATGGCTCCAGCAGGAGGGGAGACGGGGATGCACACAGACCGCAGCTGACTCGACTCATTCCTCCCTGCATTAAGCCAGGCTAAACCGAAACTGCTTTAGACCTGCCTGGCGGCACCACATGGCATGGAGAGCTTCAGGAAAGAGATCTACTGAGTTAGTGAAAATACGGAAAACCAAACCCCAACCCCAAAGCCAACCACAGCAGCCTGTCCCCTCTGCAGAAGGGCAAGAGCCCAAGGTCCTTCCCCATCATGGACAGGCCCCCGGCCCCGTTCGCCCAAAGCAGCACCTGGTGCATGACGTGTGATGGACCGGACAGGCGGCCCGTCCCCAGGTCGGGGCCCGCGCCCGCAGGTGATCTATGGCTGCGCTTTATTCACCGGCAGACAGACAGAGCCCCTTGCTCCTCAGCCTGGTAGCAACCGAGGTCGTTCATCACCCGCTTGCTCCTTTTTGAAATTCACCGAGCAGCGGGCATCTCTTTAAAGTCATGCACGTAATGCATTTTAAAGAGCATTTTCTGCACAGATCCATTTGCTCGGCCTCGGCTCCGCGCGCGAGATGGAAGGATGCTGGGGCGGCCCCCCGGCAGTCTGTTTGGAATGTATGTGCTGAGACGGGTGTGTGGCTCCGGCCCCACCAGCTCAAGGGGGGGCTGAGTGATGACCATGCAGCGGGACCGAGGAGCAGCAGCCCCTTTGGTCCCGGAAGATGGAAGCTGGACACAACTGGGGGTCACTTTGCTGCTCCATTCAAGAATGTGGGTGAAACCGGTTGATTCCAAGACTTCTTGGAGAAAGAGTCTGGCTTGACGGTGGCTCGGGTCTCTGCAGAGGGCAGGTGGCTGGTGGGGAGTCCATTCCTGGGACCCTCCGGGCCAAGGAGTGATGGTTGGTAGCTCTCAGCACCGTGAGGAGGAGCCAGATGTCCTAAAGGTCTCAGACTTAGCCGCCACCCGAGCAGCCTCAGGACGTGTCCCCAGTCCTGGCTTCTGGAATGTCCCATGTCAGGAATCACCGTCACGCTGTCAAATCTCGCGAGTCCTCGCCCTTGCCTCCAGCCATGGCTGGTCCGCCATGGAGGCTTCTGCATCGTCCGTGCCCCCTTCAGCTCCCCTCCCCAACTCACCCTGCAGTCTGCCGCCACCCCAGTCTGTCCACACCCTTCGTCTACAGCTCCAGACCACTGCCCGGTGATGGCTCCCTGGGCTCCCCTCCGTGGAGCCCCCCCCAGGCAGGCTGGGAACTGCTCACGCAGGGAGCCCCCATGTCTCCCTCCGCCCTCCACTCAGCTCGCACCCTCTCCCGGAAGCCCCCCCCACCGCTTCTGCACCGTCGTGCCCCGCAGTGGCGTGCGGTTGTGGGATTGTTCTTGTGCGCAGGGGTGCGTGTGCTGTGGGCGTCTGAGCACGTGAGCACGCGCGTTGCCTGTCTCTGACAGCCCCTCCCCTGGCCTGATGCCGCAAGGGGTGCAGCGGGCTCAGGGCATTGTGCGGTGCTGCAGCACTCGAAGGAGTGGACGTGAGACCGTGGGGGGGCTCAGACGTGCCGAACAGACCGCAGCGGGTGATGGCTGGAGGGGCTGCTGGTGCAGGGGGCTCAGGCTTCTTATTCCAGAAGCACCACCTGCAGGAGGCGGGGCAGGAGGCAGGGAAGTTATTGCGGCACCTGCTAAGGACAAGTACAGGAAGGAGGGAAAGGCACACCGGGCAGATGTGGGCCCCAAGGAGGCTTCGTGGCCACCACAGCCCCCACAGGAGCGAGACCCCGCTCCGTTGGGGCTCCACGACTTTTGCACAACTTGTCCCCAGAAAGTGGACTGGAGCAGGAAGTGAGCGGACACTCCGCTCCCCGCTGCTCCTCTGTGGTCTCGGGCGCGTCTCAGGCGTCCTGGACAACCCCAGCAGCCGCCTCCTTTGCAGGTGACACCCTTCCCGTGTGGGAGCTGGCAGGACCTCCCCCTTCTGCGAGACAAGGACCACAGGGGGCAGAGCTCAGGCCTGGACTCAGGAGCATTCCTGGTGCCCAAGAGGAGGAGGACTTCTTCAGGTAGGAGACCCACTCACCCCCTGGACCCCCCCCCCAGCCCCCAGCCCCCAGCATGAAGCCCAGGTTTCCCAAGACGACAGCCTGAGGGGAGGATAGGCATCTGGGCCCCGCGGGACCAGGCTCTGTTGAAGGTGGGGGGGCCGGGCCCGGGGCGCCACCACGCTGCCCAGGTGTACCTCCCAGCCACCCCGGGAGGTCGGGTTACACCGCACGCTCTTGGGGAGTCTTTGAACAAGAAAAATCTGGGGAGAGGTGGCTTGAAGCCCATGAGCTTCTGTCCCAGTTTGGCAACTTCCGGGATGATGATAACGGTGAGAAGAGTAACTTCTCACATGCGCGAGCCTCCAGACAGGTAGCAGGCCCCTCCCAGGCTGCAGTGAGCCTCCCAGTCGGTATCCGCACCGAGCTCCTTCCCCGAGGGAGAGGACTGCAGCGACGCAGGCCCCGGCCCGCAGGAAGCCACGTGGGGTGACAAACCCACACTCACCCCGCATGTTGGGGCAGCGGCGCTCCTGCTTAGCACCAGCGGCTTTTGGGACTGGATCCCTCCTGGGGGGCTTGGCAGTCCCCCTGAGCCCCCTACCTGATGCCAAGTAGCACCCCTGACCCCCTCTGGAACAGCCACCTGTCCCCCGGATTGAGGAGCACCTCGTGGGCCCCACCTTGGCAGAAGGGCCCGCACCCTGCGTCCCCACCGCGCCTGGGGCCAGGCTGGGGCAGCACCCGGCTTCCCGCTTGGTGTCCGTGCAGCCAGCTATGTCTGAACCCCCGGGGGACAGGGCTGAGGCCACCGCCTTTTAGTGATCCCTACGAGGCAGGCATCCAGCAGGCGCCTAGCAATGGCTTCCTGCACGAGGGCCTGCGCCACAGGAGGGAATTCCTGCAGCAGCACTGGGCTCCTTTACTCTGGAGACAGCCAAGGAGATTCCCTGAGGCTGTAGGGAGCGCGCCTGAGCACACAGTTGGCCCCAAGGGCTGGGAGGGCACCGTGGGACCCAGACAGGCTCAGGCAAGGCTCCCATGACTGCCAGCACCTCTGCCTGCAGGCGACACGGCCACGCGCGAGTCAGGGTCCGGGGGCTTGTGCCCAATCATCATGCGGCACAGCTACGCCCCGGCGCTCATCACCATGATGGTGAGTCCTGGGCAGCCTGTGGGGGGCCAGGGCCGCACCTTGGGGAGCAGAGAGGTTCCTGGGGGAAGCCTTGCTCAGGTTCTGGACCCTGGCAGGCTTGTGTTTACCTGCACCCCCGACTCCGGACGTCACTGCCGCCCCGGTGGGGCGCGGACACAGCCCGCCTGCCTCACCTGGCCACGCGGTCTCTAGGACAGCTCAGCCTGCGTTTTAGGAGAAAGGGCGTCTTTGGCCCCAGCACTGGCAACGGCAGCTCAAAGGGGGGCACCCTTGGCACCCATGATGAAAACTCCCCCGAGCAGGGGGTGCGGAGCAGAGGCTGAGGGCAGGAGGGCGGCTGGAGTGACCTCGCGGAGGGCCTGGGGGGAGGGGCCCTCACCCGTGCGGGCCTCCCGCCCTGGGCTAGCGCTGAGGCCGGACGCCAGAGGACGGGGCCGGGACCGCCGAGCCACAGCTCCCGCGCAGAATGGAGCTCTGGCTTTGGCCAAGATACCTTTTACTCGTCTTTAAATCCAAAGGGACTTAGAGGGGCCAAATGAGAGCGCGCCCTTTGGGGGCCTGTTCACCTGCCCTTAATACGGGGCGACGGCTCCTGGCAGGGAAATGGGGGGGATCTGAAGAGGCCGCCCTAGGAGGCTCGCCTCGCCACAGGTGTGGAGCATCACCCATGTCAGCTGGCTGGGCCTGGTCCTGCTGCTCTGGGCCTGCGCCATCTGGATGGCCCGAGACCACCGGCGCCTGGCCATGAAGAGCGCACCCTGCCTGGTGGGCTACGCCAACGTCCTGGTCCTTCTCAACTTCATCGTGGGGCTCCGCCTGTCCTCAGAGGAGCTGTTCCCAGGTGTCCCCGAGTGGCTCCTGGCCGACCTGGACCTCAAGATCTACCCCCAGCCAAGTCTTCACCTGGGGATCAAGGCAGGGTCGCAGCTCTTCTGTGTCCTGGGGCGGGCTTCAGATTCCTCCTCTGCTAGATGAGGGCAGCATGACACCCCACACCTATGTCCTCGGGTTCCCTAGGGCATGGCGTGGGTGAGGCGAGCCAGGTGCACCGCTGCCCGGCCCCCTCCCAGTGCCCCTTCCCCCGAGCCACTGCACGAAACGGACGCCTACCCGCCCCCCCCCCACCCCCCCAGCCCCGCAGCCCCGGAGTCAGGACGGAGAGTCGTGAGCGCGGGAGGCTGCAGAGAGGCAGTGAGGTCATCGCTTGTTTTCCACTGCAGAGTCTCTATGCGTTTTTGTTTTGGCTGCTGCTGCGGCAGCAGGTCCTGGAGAGGCAGATGCTGACAGAGGTGAAGGAAGAGGCGCCGAAGGAAGAGGCGCCGCAGGAAGAGGTCGAGGAAGCCAGTGGTGAGGGCCCTAGGTGACCGGCCTCCTGCTCCGGGAGCCTCACGGATATTTACGAGCATATTTTCAAGCCACCCCTTTCTCCCAGCAACCCCAGTTCTCAGGGGGAGGCAGAGAGCCCCAGGGCCCATGTTCCAGGTTTGCCTTCAAGTGCCTCCCTCCCCACATAGCTCTCGAAGGTCACACAGGTGGTGCCAGGAGTCCAGGCGGCCTCCGGACGCTCAAGGTGGGGTCCAAGGACACCCGCCACTCAGAGGGCTGAGGAGTGCGCCCGGAGGGGCCAGGGCGCGTCCCCTTTCAAGCCTGTACATCTCTGAGCCTCTCTGACTGGCACTGTGTTCAGGATCTGGGAGGAGCCGGGGAGCAGAGAGCCAAACCCGGCGCTCTGACTGCCCTCCCTGCCTCCCTGCAGCACCCAGCAGTGCCCTGGCAGGTCTCCTGGGCTCCTTCCTCAAGGGTCTCCTGGTCAAGTACTGGATCTTCATCTGTGCAACCATGTTTTTCGTCGTCAGCTTCGACGGCAAGGTGGCGGTGTACAAGATCATCTACATCTTCCTCTTTCTGTCCTGGGTGGCCTTGTACCAGGTGAACCCAAAATCCACGCCTGCGCTGCCTCCTCCCGCACCCCTATCCCCGCCCTGCCGGCCCTGCCACTCGCGTTTGGACGTGAGGCCCCATCCAGGCCTGGGGTCCGGTGGTGCCTCCACCAGCGCTGTCTCTGCGTAGGGGAGCGCGCTGCTCCCACGGGTCACTGCTGCAGTCCTGCAGCCTAGCATCTGACCCGAGTCCCAGAGTCCCAGCACACACGCAGGCAGGGTGGACACGTATTTCTGGACCAGAGCAGCCACAGGGAGGGAGGGAGGAAAAAAAGCCCGCGGAGGGTGGGGAAGAGCCCAGGGGCCGCGGGTTAGGTAATATGGAGCCAAGCCAGGAGTCTCGGTTCAATTTCAAAGGGCACGCCACCCCCCACATCAGACCAGAGAGACGGCGAGGTCCAAGCCTGGTGACTTCAGCCTTCAGGCCCTCCCCAGCCTGACGCCCTTAGCACTTGCATCCCAGTACGCAGCACACGGGGCCTGGAAAAACAGACCTAAGCAGCTTGTGTGCACGGGTGGGGGTGGCGGGCTGATGCGCAGGCAGGCTGCCATGCTCCTCCACCCTCCTGCCTTCCAGGGGGCCTCTCGCAGCCTGAGGGACTGTGGAGGCCTGGAGGCCGCCACCAGGGCCCATTCGCACTGACCAATAGGTACACAGCCCAGTCCTCACCAGGTGTCTCCACCTTCCCTGCCCATCGCCAGAGTCACAGCCCCACGCGTGGAGGAAGTGTGCGCAAAAGAGATGGAGGGGGAGATTGATTTCCAATACCACCCAAATGGGTCAATAAACAGACTCGACTCCCAAGCCAGGGGCTCCAGGCGCCCCAGGCAGTGACTGCCAGGCCCTGAACTTTGCTTTTCTGCAGCAACCCAGCTAACACAGACTCTGGCTTCACTCTGGTGTCACATAAAAACTGTCTTAGACCCTTCCAGAAGAATGAGCTTGGGTGCTGGCCAGCAAGGATTTCTGTTGGAAAAAGCAATTTTGCACAAGGAGCTCTTCCTTCCAAATTCTCCCCTGGCCCTTTTACTTGTAGTCGCTGCTGTTTCTCCAATGGCTGCAGTGCGTCTCACCAGGGACGTGTCTGAATTGCAGATGCACTATGACTCATGGAGAAGGATCCTGAAGTTCTTCTGGATGGCCATGGTCTCTTACTCAATGGTGGTCCTCGTCGCTATCTACACTTACCAGTTTCAAATTGTTGCTGGATTTTTCAACCAAACCCTGGGGCTCAGTGAAGAGGGGTAAGAGCTGGCTTCTGGAGCTGGTGGGTGGGTGTGCATGCAGGTGCAGGGAGATTTACCAAAGGCCCCGATTCTGCCAGGATTCAGGGCTCCTGGGGTCAGAGCAGATGTGCTATCACGTGGAAAGCAGCCCTGGCTTCCCAGAGGAGACTTGCAGAGGAGACAGCAGTTACTCACCATGGCCTGGGTTTGCCAAAGTAGCTGCTTAGGACACCCTGCAGGGTGCTGCTTCAGGCCTCTGGTGCATGTGAGAGAAAGCAGCTCTTCTAGATGGTTCCATGCTATGTGGGCACCTCTGCAACACTCCCAGCTCCTCAGGGCCGAGGGAGAGGCCTCTGTCAGTTCTAAGGCCTCCAGGTCAGAGCCCGAGTCCAGGGCAGAGGGACCCATCCAGACTCTGGCTTTGTCAGAACCCCGAGTCTAGGCACGTGAAATCCCAGGGTGTCCTCACCCCCACCTCTGGGTCACAGCCCCCTCGACTTCAGCTGCCAGTGTGAGCTTAGGCCAAGAGCACACGTCCCAAATGCCAGGGCTTCTTCAACCCACAAGCACGCTGAGCGAGGAAGACCTGAGGCCCCACACAGCCACACCCACACCACAGGGCCCCTCAAGATGGGAGCCTGTGTGCCCAGGCCTTCAGGGCTCCCCCAACCTCTTCCAGGCTCCGAGACGTGGGCCTGGAACGGTTTGACACGGTGGAGCTGTTTGCTAAGATCCTGCTGCCCGCGACCTTCCTGCTGGCCTGCATCCTTCAGCTACACTACTTCAATGAGGACTTCCTGAGGACCACCAGTCTCCTTAACAGCCCCGAGAGGTGGAAGGACTTGGCTGACAGGTACAGCTGACTGCTGGCATCCGGAGAGGCTGCTGGTAGACCTGGAAGAGAGGCTCAGCTCAGGCGTGGGAATCAGATGGACTTCCTGTTGGCTGAATGTCCACCCGAGTTGGTGGGGAGAGTTGGAGCCTGTGTCTTTGCAGGGCCCACGCACAGGAAGGGGCCTTCCTTTCCCACCAGGGGCCTCCAGCTGCCAAGGGGCTGAGCGGCCCTTTGGTATTTTTGCTGGGGGAGTCAGGCACCAGCCACGTGCAGCGTCTGCAGGCTCTGCCTGCAGGATCGCCTGCACCGCCCATCGCCTGCACTTCACCATTCTGTGCTCCCTGCATCCAGACACTGACTGCAAAACCTGCTTTTAAAGGTTTCCTCATCTTTAGACCGAGTCACTCCTCAGTAGGCATATTTCGCAGAATTCTTCTGAAAGGTGGTGGCCTGCCAGAGCAGCTCATTTTCTTACTAAGAAAAATTAACCCAGAGGCTGCGGTCTTCCTAAGGCCCAACTCTGTTTTCCAGATCAAACTGTGCCATCATTCCACATTCCAGCACGTTCTATGAAAAAGCACGCCAATACCACAGCTTAATTCTTTTTTCAGGGATTGTAAAATATTACTTTTTTTTGGGTCACATTGTGTGGTTTGTTTTTTGGTTTTTACTCAGCTTTGTGGGAACCCAGGTGGACGTGAGTGCTCTCAGGAGGGGGGTCTCCACACCCATGCAGGGGCTCTCCCCCCACTCACTGCCCCAGTAACATGCTCAGAAATATGTCAAACCAAAGAGGTCCCTGCTGCAGAGCCAGGAGAAAACCTGGGGGGAATGTTCTGTGTTGAGGCCAGCAGGGCCCCATCAGGTCAGCTCATAGAAGCGGGATGAGGGGGAAGGTTTCCAGCGCGGCAGACAAGGTTTGGGGCCCAGTTGCCATGGTAACATAATAGGCGCACCAGCCCCCACTGCATCTCCAACTAAGTGCCCTGTGATCTGTATCCCCCAGCAACACGGTGGAAACCCATGTGCGGCTGCTGTCAGACATGTGAGTCTCTCCTCTGCTGTAAATCCTCCTGCCGGGGCCTCTCCTTGGGGCCTCGCCCTGCGTTGGGGGCGCCAGCTCCACCTACGCTCGCTCAGGTGCCTGGTCCTGTGCATTCAAGTGTTAATCTCATTCTTTACAAAACTCCAGCCCCGGGTGAGGGCACTGGGGGCTGGTCAGACAAATCAGGGTCTGCCCCTAGCCACCCCCCACCCACCCCCCCCACCCCGGCGGCACTGCATACACAGACATGGAGTAAGCGTCAGGGCAGAGCCCAAGCCGTGGGCAGAGCAGCCGCCATCTGTCTGAGGAGACCATGTAGGCACTCCCCTAAAAGCCAGCCCCCCAAGGACACCGCGACGCTGGGAGCGGTGGGGCATACGCGGTGGGCACCAGCTGCTTCACGCGCACCCGCTCGACCTTCTCGGTGACTGACTACGTGCAGGCGTTGTCCAGCCAATACAGTAGATGGGAAAACTATTAAAAATCAATTTGAGAGACTGATGTTGAACTAAATCCGGTAGAAAATGAAGGCTTTTGTAAACAGGAGAGGGGCTTTCTCTCTCTCTCCCCTTCTGTTTCAGGCTTAAGGTCACGCTTCGTAAACTTCGGAAGAGGTAAGAAGTAAACAGGAAGGAGAATGTGTTCTTCCCGCTGGATTGCTGGGGCCTGTGGGGCCCCAAGAACGTGCGAAAAGCGTAACTGATTCCAAGCGTGTAGGAGACGGGCCGGCGGGCCGTGCCGCCGGGGTCCGGGGTCCGGGGTCCCGTCTATGGCCGTCTGTCCTCGCACGCGGCCTAGTTCGCTCTCAGGCTCCGACCAAGCCCGCCCCCGCCGCGTGCTGCCCGCCACACTCTGCCTTTGGTTTTTAGCGCAGGACCCAGCGGGGAAAAGGCAGGTGAGGACTCTGTGGACAGAGCAGACAGGCCCGCGCAGGGAGACGAGACGCCGGTGGTGGAGGACGAGGCGCCGGAGGGAAGCGTGCCAGCAGGTGAGAGGCGCCGCTGTCCCCTGCCCCTCGCAGGCTGGGGCCGCGTGCAGGCGCCACCAAGAATCCTGGGCCTTCCGGCAGCTGATTCACTAGGAAAAGGAAATCCATCCAGGTGGCTGAGCTGCCTCCACAGTCCCAGCAAGCTCTCTCGCAGTTCACCTCCGGGGCCAGCCCTCGAGGCCAGCCCGCCGTCCCAGGGGTGCGGCCTGCCTTCAGTCCTGCTTTATTTCCAGGCCAGCGGGGAGCCAGACCACATTTGTCGGGCCTGTGAACTCAGAGTTTAATTCTGATAGCAGCTGAGCTGATGGCGGCCCTTGCATTTTCAAGAAAAACCTACTTCACAAGCTGAAAGTAACAGCAGTCCCTCGGCCTGCTTTGCTCTCTTGGGAAACCTGTGGTGTGCGTTTGATTCAGCTTGTGGTTGGGACCGAAAGAAACGCAGGGTGCCTAGGCACACCACGAGGGCTTAATACACTCTAGTTTCTTTCATTTGAGCAAATTGTCATCTTTCTCAGATGCCAAGGGCACATTAGACACCGCCCGGACGTTGGGGACACTTTGCCTCCTCTGGGGCAGTTAGATTGGGTTTGATTCACCCGCCTCCTCTGCTGGGCGCTGCTGGGCACTGCTGGGCACAGCGCTCAGTACTAACAAGAGACAGACCATCAGTGTCTCTCCTTTCAAGAAATTCACCCATGGGAGCAGAGGCCTGCAACTGGCCTGGGACAAGGCCAGCACTCCCTGTGGTTTTGGAGGTAAAGCCACACATCTCTGCTGCCCTCCTGCCGCAGAAGGAGCTTTGAGTCTTACGACAGATACCCTGTGGCCGCAATGTCGAAGATGCTTGCTCTGTGGCCCCTTAGGGAGACACAGAGCCAAGCCCTGGTCTAGAGGGGGAGGATATTAACAGACACTTGAGACATGGGCGAACCATGCTCTGAGAGCAGGCACAGGACCTGGGGCACAGACGGGGGCGGAGGGCTTGGCGTGGGGAGGGGCGGGGAATGGGCTCTAAGTATTTGCTATTATTGGAAAACAGCAATTTTTAAAAAGAAAAATCAACCCCTTCCTAGTTTTCTCGACGTTCTGGCTTCCTCTCAACTACCCAGGGCTTCATGTTGTTTTCAACAAGAAACCAGACCCTCCCGAATCGCTGGGGGCCCACAGTTAAAGCCTCTCTCTTCTTCCCAGACGAGAAAATTCGTGATTGGGATTTGGTGATAGACAAGCTGACCGCTGGTTTTCTGAAGCTTCTAGAAATAGTTAATGGAACTCAAGTACTTCTATGGCGCATTCTGGAAATACATGTCGTCAAGCTGGTGTCCCCCGTGATCATCTGGTTCACGCTGCAGGAGGTAGTGTTTCAGGGGCCGGGGGCCTGCACGCTGGGGTGACTGTGAGCGGGGTCCGAGGCCCTGCGCTGACCTCCTGTTGAAGGTACAGTGGGCATGTCCGGCTCCCTTCGCCCTCTGACGCGGGTGGTGCCCGTACACCACACTCTCCGTTCAGGTTTCCCTGATGAACTCCCTGTTCTATGTCTGCTGGGTGGCAGCCCTGCCCTACTCCACGCTGCGCCCCTACGCGTCCCACTTCTGCACCGTGTGGGCGTGCGTGATGGTGATCTGTAAGATGATGTACCAGCTGAAATCCGTCGTGCCCGCCTCCTACTCGTCCAACTGCACCGAGGTGAGCTCTGCGTGGGGGGAAGCCTCTCCCAGCTACAGGGAGATCCCAGGGCAGATGCAGACACGGGCTCAGCCTCCCCGGTGACTGCCTTGGTGGGGTCTTCTGGAAGGAGAGCTGATGAATGGACATTAAAACACATGGGTCTGGAAAAGACTGTGCAGGACAATCTGCCATTTTTTAAGATGAAACCATTGAGGCCCAGGAGGGAGGCCAGAAGGATGCCTCCAAGACCCACATTGCACCCACTTATTCACTCAGCAAACACTGATGGGGCCCTTGCTCTGTGCCAGGCAGGGAGGGCACGTGGGGAGACCCTGAAGATGAGGCTCCAGAGGGACAGACTCTGGAAGGTAAACGGGAGACCTGGATGGAGGTGCTGGAACGCTGTGAAGGGGTGGAGGAGACGGTCAGGTCCTTGGGGACCAGGGAAGGTCCATAGGGACAGAGGCTTACACTCCAGGGAGGGGCTGGGAAGGGGCAGTACGTGGCTGTTGGCCCAAACTGCAGGGGATTCTGGAAGGACCTCTGCTAGGGCCAGGCATAGAAGTGGGAGGACTGGGGCAATTCTTGGGGCCCAGGACTGATGGCACAAGGGCCCACCCACAAGGGCTGCTGTGAGGCCTGCTGAGGGCCGCGGGGGTGGTCCGATGGTAAGGGGAAGCACCCCCACCAGGCATTCCAGTTTTAACTCGGGGAGGAAGACAGTTGGTAGGATCATGGCGGCGAAGACTCAAGGCACTGAAAGGAAACTGAGACTGAGGGAGGCACAGGGGCCGGGGCCTTTCCCAGGCAGCCCTGCAGCTCCAATCATTTACGAGGCTCACAGGTGGGACAGACACACCACCAAGCCCCCTCCACCCACATGTCATTTCTGTCTCTAAGGTGTGGCCAGGAAACAGCGGGCCCTCAGGGGCCCGGCTTGCTGAGGGGCTGAGCCCCTCCCCGCAGCTGGTGGACCCAGCTGAGTGGCTCGGAGGACTGAGGAAGTGCGACGGTGCAGTGCTGCCCTGCCTGAAGGTAGGAGGGCGAGTGGCGTGGCCCGTGGGTGCAGACAGGCAGTGGCAGAGCCTCGAGAGCCTGCAGGATCTGAGTGCCGGGGACCCTTGGACAAAGCCTGGCACTCACCCGGCACCCAATGAGCTTAGCACCCCCTTCCCTTCCAGGGGAACATTATATTAAGTAATTGCTTTAGAGGCCAAGTCATCTATTACCAAGAATGAACCTGGCTCAGTCACTTGGAACGTTTTGCCCAGAGAGGTTTCTGGGGCAGCTCGGAAGCCAGGAGTGAGTCAGGACAGAGATGACATTAAAGGCAGAAGTGAAAATTAAACAACTCAGCCCAAATCGAAGCCCAAGTGGAAGCCAGCCTAGCCTGTACGAGTGCGAATTGGGGGGAGGGGGTGAACTGCACCCCTTCCCAGGCATCAGAAGGGGATCATTTCTCGGGGTCCTCTTTCCGTCAGACTTATACTTTATGGGGGGCAGGAGGCCCCACTTTCCGGGATCAGACCACAGAGGACAGGCAGGAACAGAGCGAGAGCGCATCTCAGGGCACTCGGCCGGGCGCATCACGTCTTGATGGGAGCAGGTGCAGCGGCAGCGACAGCAGGCGCAGAGGGGGACGGGGCTCACACGCCACCCCCACTCCTGCCAGCTGAGTCCCCAGACCTCAGTCTAGAACCAACAGGGTCAATACTAAGTCAAAGGAGGCACTGGTCGACATGCAGAGGCAACAAAGTCCCCACCCCCAGTCTGGCGCGCACGGAGCTGTGGGTGGACAGGGGGTTGCCGGGGTGTGCGGGAGCCCGGCATGTGTCCCTCCTTAGAGAAGCCCAGAGGGCATGTATGCCGCTTAGCCACACACACAGAGGTAGCCCCGCTGCTGGAGCTCGTTCTCACCAAAGCGCAAACGGCCATGGGGTGGAGCCCCGGAGGCTGAGGGCAGGCAGAGGCCCTTGCTCAGAAAGGAGGTGCAAAGTCACGTGCCACACACGCGGTTAAGGAGGCAGGACAGGGCGGAATTCACCTTTAAAAAAAAAAAAGTTACCCAAGGAGATGAACAACAGGTTCTGTGGCACTTGGGGGTGGGCACTGCCCTCTGCTCGCTGGGCAGCCCCCCAGATTCATTTCCTGGCCGTTCTGCAGGGCTGGGGTCTTACTGTAAGATACTTTAAGAAGTGTCAGCTTCCGTAGGTTCCCATGCAACTCCAGACCTAAGCCCCCAAAAGCTTATGGAAGGGAACGAGGCAGCCACCCGAAGCCTCAAACAGAAGTCCCATTCAGTCCCGTCTCCTACCCTGCTGAGAGCGTGCAGAGGAGCCACGGCACAGCAGGGGGAGGCTGGTCAGGACGGAGAATCTATGGGTCACAGGGCTGCCGGCCCCACACACCTGCACAGAGCCAGGGAGGCGCGGGCGGCCGCAGCACCAAACAGGCCTCGCTCCGCATCCCCAAGAAGTAGTCAGTCTCCCGCCAGGGCCTGCGGCGAAGCGCACGGGGCACGTTCGTGGCTAAATATGCTCTAATAAGGCGAGTCTTTTCATCTCGGTGTCAGATAATCAATATGGAAAATGCAGCATATTTATAACCAACAATTAGGCTCCCACGGCATTTCCATCACTCATCAACAAACACCCTCTTGAACCCCATCCCCGAATCTGTGTGGCCCTTGCTCTATCCATCAAGTCTTCCGGCTGCGGGAAGTTTCCACAGCGTGGCCACGGTATTAGAGGAAGGAGCGGCCCACTCCGGACGCCTCTGAATTTACCCATCACGTAGCAAGATGGATTTCAGCATTAACCAGCAGCATTACTAAGAATTGGCAGCCGAGAAGGGAAGACGCCCTTGGAAGGGTGCGCTGGTGCACATTGTGTTATAAAGTAATGTAATCAAGCAAAGTAAATGAACTCATTATGATTGGCTTTTTATTCCCAGCTTGTCAAGAGTCATAACTATATGAAGCATTCTCTACTTTGATCGATTGGAAAATCAATAGCTGGGAATTTGTGGAGAGCATCTCGGATAGGGAGACATGAAAGGAAATGTTGGGGCTATTATTTGGCCCTCTGACAGCCTGGGTCCTGCAGCAGTCACACCCGGAATCGGGCCAACCCATGGGCCACCCATGCTTTGACCATCCACACCACAGTTCTATTAAAGAAGAGGGGCAGAGTGTGAGGGGGATCCGGTAGCTTGCAGTGGGCAGCCCCTGGGAGGTGGGCTCGGTGCATGCAGGCCTGACCCGGGTCTGCTCTCCTCCACAGGCCGAGCTCATCATCTTGGCCCTCATGACGCTGGAGGTGACCGTGAGCCGGCATCAGAGGTTGCACCGGCTCCGGAAGCAGCTGCTGGAGCCCTTCACCAGCACCCTCATGGACTCAGTCACGCGGGCACAGCTTGACGAGGGGCTCCTGAGCGCCCTGAAGTACTTCATCAACTATGGATTTTATAAGTTTGGGCTCGAGGTGACACCCCTGTGTTTGCTCTCACTTCCTAGATTGTGGCCTTTCTTGCTCCTTGAAACAGGCAAATATCAAACACGCCCAAGAGCAGGGAGGACGGTAGCACAGACACACTCCCCTCCCCATCGCGGCCACGGTGGTTTCCATCTGGTCTCACCCCTCCCTGCCCACGGGGTTCTGAAGGACACGCCCCATTCCTGAGTATTTCTGGGCACGTGTATAAAAGAGCAGAAAACAATGCCATCACCACCCCTGAAAAGCAGACAGTCCCCGACATCTAATATCCAGCCTGTGCGCAGCCTTCCTGATTACCCCCCAACTTAAAAAAAAAAAAACAAACTGCCCAATTCAGGAGCCAGGTGAAGGCCAGCACCGTGACGGGTGACTTGGCCGACCCATCCGCAGAGCTCCCGTCTGCCGCTGCTTCCTGTGCCTGCAACTTACTGGTTGAACTTCCCTTCTGCGTTTCACGGGTCGCCCCTCCTCGCCCGGTTTCTCCCCAGGGCGAGGCACTAGTTCTGAGATGGCTGTGAGGAGACACCGTCCCTCGCCAACCCTTCAGTATCCCTGAGATAAAGCTCTTTTTCTTAAGGGCCAGAAAAGTGCTTGATTTTTTTTCTTCAAGTTTACCATTTTCAAAGCAGGGAGCTGGTTCTGCGGGCCGCTCCCGGGGCGCCCAGTGAGTCTTCAACGTCTCAACCCCTTCAGCTGTGGCCCCGATGTCCTCGCGACGCTCAGTCTGCCCATCTCTGGCCAGCAGGGAGTCCCTCCTGTTCACTGCTGGGGAGCTTTTTAAGGGCCTCTGGCCTTGCTTGCTTTTCTTTTTAAGTCTCCACCCACCGAGAGTCCCATGGAGCCGCCATGCTGGCCTCAGAGCACCCCCAGCCTCCTCGCCACCTCGTGCTTGGCAGGCTGCTCTGCTTCTCTCTGGACAGCCTTTGACAAATTGGGTCTTGTAATTTACCCATTTTGCTAATTAATATCAAATGGTTGTAATGAATTTCTGGGCTACAGGGTACTCTGTAAAAGCAATAAAGCAAAAGCAAATTAAACCCCACTCCCCAGGTCCCCCAAATCTCAACAGGCGTCCAGACCAGGGAGTGAGAGGGCCACCCCGTCCCCACTGCCCTGGTCAAGGCGCGTGGACATGCCCCTCTCTCGCCCTGCTTTCCAGCTGTGTTTGCTGGCCGCCCTCAACGCCATAGGACAGCGCATGGACTTCTACTCCCTCGTCCATGTCATCTGGCTGATTTATTTGCTGAATCTTCGACGGAGAAAAGCCATTGCTGAGATATGGCCCCGCTACTGTGGTTTTCTCGTCACCCTCGCCATCTTTCAGTATTTTCTGTGCCTCGGGATGCCGCCTGCTTTCTGCACAGGTGAGCCAGACCCCTGCCAGCCCACAGGGCTCTTTGCGGGAGATGCCGATGCTGGCAAATGCCAACGTTGCTCTTCACATGTTGGGTGTCGTTATGTCAGGGAGCTGGGGTTCCTTTTGCTAAGAGGGGTGCTGCATTAAGGACCTCGGAAAGAGCTGGGCTAGCCCCTAGGGGAAAGGGGCCGATGGACAGAGTGTGAAAGCAGAGTCGGCCCCACTGAGCTGCGGGCTGGCCTGTGAAGGAGAACCACTTCAACTCTACCCTAAAAGCAAGTAAAATGAGGGTGGGGGAGAGGAGGTGCAGTGCCACCTCCCCGTGGGTGTGCTAGGGCTGCCTGAGCCCTCCTTGGGCAACGCTGTTTGGTCAAGTCCATCGGAGCCAACAGCCCGCTGGACAGAGGCGGCGGCCCAGGCACAGGGCTGGGATGGGGGTGTGCTCTTGACGTCGCCACTTCTGGCTGGTAGTGGCCAAAGGGCCTCGGCCTGTGGAGTGGACCCTGGGAGTATTCCCTTGGGTCACATTATCCCAGCACAGCAAAGACCCAAAAGTCTTGCCCAGAGTCTGATTCAAACCTCCGCTCTCCTTGGGCACTTCTCCTGGCACACGCCCCGCGGCTGTCTCCAGGGTGCTCCCGTGACTCTCCAGGTCCCTTCCTTCCTCCTCCTCTCGTCTCTCCATTCCCCTCCTCTTCTGTTTTCTTCTTTCCTTCCTCTTCTCATTTCTTCCTCTCTCCCTCCCTCCTCGCTTGCTCTCATCGCCTCCCCTCTGCAGTCACACCCCCATTCTGCGCCCCCCCAGGCTGATAACAAGGCCCTCAGTTGCTCCCACACCTTGCTGTCATGCTACAGCCATGCCCTTGCACTGCTTCCCAAGCCCCGAGGGGGGGGGTCCCACCTCAGATCACAAGCTGTCAGCCCCCCACATGGAACGTAGGCCAGATGAAGGACCCCAAACACGACAAAGCAGGTGGGGTCGTGGCTCCCCAGCAGGCAGTTGTTAGAATTCCTGAAGCAGTTCCAGCATCCTCTCAGCCTTCTTTTTTAATTATTTTTCTTGACCCTGAAATCCTATCCGACATCTTAGTCATTCCATGTAATTTGAAAGAAGCATTAATAGAACACCGACTCAATGATCTTCAGAAAAATAATGAAGACAAAAAGAAAATTGCGCTTCCTTTACAGATTACCCATGGAGAACCACAAGCACAGAAATACAGTCAAACCTCATTAAGTGGTTGTATCTTCCAGACTTTGCCAAGAAGCCGGATGCCAATTTGCTACTCTGTGAGTACCAAGGTGTCTGGGAGCCTCCCTGCCCCGGGAACCTCAGATGGGGCAGACGGTGGAGCGCCCAGGGCCTGCCAAGTGCCATTTTAGTCTTTCCTCGCTGCCAACCTTCTTTCCGATGTTTCTCCATTTCATCTTGTGATCCCCAGTCGGTACTCAGCAAAGAAACATAGTTACCAGGTTCCAAGGTCTCCATCTAATTAAAAAATGCTTGCATCGGAGGGAATTTTAATTCCTAAGCATTATTCTGATGGGGTGGGGGAGCAGGACTTCCAACAGATGATTTAAAAACCAGAGATTTAGGTAATAAATAAAATGGCTGATTTGCAAATGAGATTTCCAAATGTGGTCTAAGAGAAAGGCCTTCCAAAATTTAGATTTGAGAGTTAGCACTGACGTGTCCCAACAGGCAGCACTTGTGGGGGGGGGAGGGCGCGCTCGGGGGGCTCTAGGCGCCTGCCCACCCTCCTCAGGACTGCGGAGCAACAGCCAGTGCTCGTGGCGGCCGCCGCTTCTCCTCTCCACCCTCAAGCCTGTTCCCCACAAAATCCATTCTTCATCGCGCCCAACCACCCACCGTCGGTCGATCCAGAGCCGACAGCCCCTGCCTCGGCGCCCAGTTCCGCCTGGAACACGCGGCTGTGGGCCCCTCTCTGAACAGGGTGGGGGCAGAGGAGGTGCGCCACGCTCCGGGGACCCAGTGTCCTGGCCCTGCGTCCCCCGGCAAGGAGCTGGTCCAGGTGCTCCACGCGACATGAGGGTGAGCTGGCCCCCACAGCACCGGCCTCACACCCCAGGGGCCCCGCCTGGCTGCTCCTTGCAGGGGGCAGGTCTGAGACCAGCGTCAGGCAGCCAAGACCAGGGCGCACAGCTGAGGCCGGGAGGCGCGACCGCTTCCTTTTGTCTTCGCAGATGACTTCCTGCTTCTCCTCGCCGCCTCCCTGCAGTGGCAGGTGTTTGAGGATGAGAACAAGCTGTGGATGAGAGTGAGGGCCGGGGACAACATGGAGATCAGCCGGGAGCTAAGGCCGGAAGACCTGACCCAGCTCTGCCCTGTGCCCAACTTCGTCTTCTGCCGGTAGGAGCCGAGGCCTGGCCCTGGCCCCTGTGGGTGGGCCGTATTCACCCCCTCTCGGCGCGGCAGGCCTGAGAACTGCCTCCTTTGGAGAAGAAATTACTATGATTTTCTTAATTAAAAGAAACTTAAAAAGACATGTAATTCAGATAGAGAAACATTTAGATCCTAATTACAAGTCAATCCATCTCCAGGAACACTTAGCAAGACAGAGCACTTCCACCAGCCCAGAAATTTCCTCATTCCCTTCCCAGTCAATCCTGCCCCCAGGCAACCACTGAGCTGACTTCCTCATCACAGACTAGTCTGCTCAGTTCTAGAATTTCCCTGACTTGGAAGCGTGTGGTAAGTTCTTGTGTGTCCGGCTTCCTTTGCTCATCCTATTGTTGAGCTCAGTCCTTTTCATATCACGTCTCCGCACAGCACTCCTTTTGACTGCTGAGCAGTATTCCATCGTCTCAGTGATCATTCCATACTTTGATTATCCACCGATGATTTAATGGACATCTGGGTTGTTTCCAACTTGGAACTAGTGAATAAAAGCTTCCATGAACATTATGTGCTACAAAATTGATAAACTCTTGGTGATCTTGGGTAGGAGGAAGATTTCTTAAATCGGACACAAAGACGAAAAATGTGCAAAGATGAAAAATGATGTAAGAATTATATAAAATAAAATATTTTTAAAAAATCGGACACAAAAAGTATGAGCTATAATAGGAAAAAGGTGTTAAGTTGGTCTTCATCAAAATTAAAAAAAAAATTCTCCTCTTCAAAAGACAGAACACTTAACAGAGCATTTAATAACGTTTTAAAGATAAGCCACAGATGAGGAGAAAAGCTTGCAAGACATATAGCTGAAAAAGCCTTGTATGCAGAATATATAAAGAAATTTTAGAGCTCAGGAAAAACGACGAATTTTTTTTTTAAATGGGCAAAAAAAATGAGATTAGGCTTATTCTGAAACGACGCGCAACATCATCAGTCATTAGGGAAACAAGTTAAAAATGAAAACGAGACACGGCTACACACTGTGAGGACGGCTGACCCCACTAAGCAGCGCCCAGCGGGAGCCCGCGCTGCCGGCGGGGCACACCAGGGGCCTTCTGGCAGCCGAGCGGCAGTTCCTCACGTCGCTAAATGCATGCTCGCCGCCTGACCCACCCCAGTCCTCCGCGCTGACCGAGCGAGGCGGGGACTTAGTTCCACGCGGACCCTGAACACGAGCTCGTGCGGCTCTGCTCACGGCCGCCGAGGGCCAGAGACACCCGCGTCCAGAGCCGGCGCGGGCGAGCTGTGGCCTGCCCAGCGGGCCAGCCCTCCGCTGCGAGACGGCGCTGCCGAGCCACACGGCGACGCCCGGCCTGTTGCCCCTCATGTAGCTTGGAAAAGCCGAAGCTATACAGAAAACCACAAGCGGTCGCCTAGAGGGTGGGGGAGGGGCCGGGCTACAAAGGGCAGGGGTTTCGGGGGTGATGGAAACACAATGTATCTTAATTGTGGCGCTTACCGGACTGTGCGCTTTGCAAAGCCCCGGCCACAGCCAGTGCGGTCTCCGCTCGCCAGGTCTGCTCCCCGCAGTTCGCCGCCCTCCTGCGTGCGCCGGTGGAGGTGAGGCCGTGGTGTCCTCAGGTGGCCCCATCTCTGCTTTTCACCCCTCTCCCATCTTCAGGTCCTACCTGGACATGGTGAAAGTCGCAATCTTCCGCTACCACTTCTGGCTGGTGCTTGGCCTGCTGTTTCTTGCGGGAACGACACGGATCAACATCTTGGGTGCCGGGTACCTGGTGGCCTTTGGTTATTTCATGATGCAAGGAAGTCACCTCCTCCTGAAGCCCGTGAAGTTCATTCTCCGGCCGTGGGATCGCCTGATCGCCTACTCGGTGCTGGTGGTAGCTGCGAAGACTTTCCTGTCGGTATGGCCAGGCCGTCTCTCAAGGCCGCTCTTTGTTCTCCTAGCCTGACTGTCTTAATACTCTACACAAGGCACTGCCAAAACCAACAGTTCATCTTAAAAGGGCTTCTTCTAAGATATGTTTACCAAAGGTGGGAAAATGTAAAATGACCTTCGCACGCCAGGAGAGACGCAGCCTCTGCTCTTCGGAGCAGCGTCTGACGTTGCAGAGAACGGGGGGAGGGGAGGTGCGGAAGTGCACGAGAAAGCAAGCTTTATGGCCTAGCCCATGACCAGAGGTCACGCCTGGCAAGTCCGGTATCTGTCTCTTGTGCAGAACGTGCCCTTCGAGGCCAGTGCATGTTGAGTAACATGAGCAAAGTGGACTGACCCGACAGTCCAGAGGTTAGGAAGTTCATGTGTGTGGAAACCGGAAGGGGCCCAAGAGGTTATCTGGCTCACTCCTCCTTGTGCCCCCCTCGGCCTTGGAAGACTCACAAGCCCCATGAGGATGAGGACAGAGACGGAGAGCTCAGCCGGCACCAGCAGCTGGTCTGATCTGCTGTGCTCACCCGCAGCTGCCACCAGCACTCAAGGCTCGTTTGGCATAAGGGAGTCCCCCCCCCGCCCGGAGGGCCCAGAACTTCGGGTCATCATTCAGAACAGTAGTCTCGTTGCCCCCAAACTTCTAAGTGATTGCCTGTCAGCTAAAGTAGCTCTTCTGGAAAGAGAGACAGTCCCATGACAGATTAACCTTATTGGCCTCCATGGGCAGAGAGACGGGCGGTGTCCTTAGTGTGATGCATCTTAGGTTGTCATCTTCCCAACGGCCACCAGGCCTCCCTTTATAAAAGCCACAGCAGGAAGGAGCCTTTGGGGCCATGTGGCTTTCTGGGTGGAGCAGAGAGGGGCGAAGTAAAGGGTGCGGGCCACTCTCCCCACACCACTGCTCACAGCCCCTCTACTCCTTCAGTTCAGTCCTCATCAACAGAGAAGATGCTCCCGTGGCCTCGGAGCTACGCGCCGCCCCCGCCGTTTTCTGGGGGAGGAGGAGTTAGCCCCCTGTGGCTACATAGCCAAATGCCGCCCTTCAAAGTGACGCGCACATCGCAGTCACAACTTCGGAGACCGCGAAGGACAGTGTGGTCAGTGAGGCCAGGCTGGGTGCACGGACAAGGGGTGGTGAGTCTTCTCCGAGCTTCTCCTCTGTTGCAGGTTGGCGCGTGTGTCTACCTGGAGACCTTGCTTGTCTCCCACTGCTGGCTGGTCCACAGTTTCGGCATGTACTGCACGGTGCGAGGATACCACTTAGGTAAGGCCCCACTTCTTTCACCAGCTCTAGCACAGTGGCACAGAACCGCGCCTGTTTTACCAGGATAAAGAAGTCGAGCTCCCAGAAAAGGTGAACTACGAGCACCACGGGCATCCACGTGCCCAACCCCAAGTTCACAGTGGTGTTTCTGGCCCTCTTTGCTTTATCTGCAACTGCGCGTACGTGTTCTCACCAAGCCACCCGGGAGCAGGATGCGCACACCCACGCGTGTGGCCCACACTGTTACCAGCGCACAGCAAGGAAATTAGCTCCCATTTCCCCATCCCACCAACGCGCAGCCCCCCCCCCCCCAATGCCGCCAGCTCTTCCTGAACTGCTGACGACAGACGTTATGATGAAGATGAAGACTTAGGGTGCAGAGCCCCCGTGCTTCGTCAGTCTACGCTTTAAAGGGATGTGGAGGGAAACCCTGGTGGAAAGGGGTAAACATCTCTCACGGGGAAAACCCCAAGAGACCAAACCAAAAGGGAGAGCTCGGGTGAGCCGTCAAAGCTCTGCCCGAGATCAGCTCCCGCGCCTCTGGCCCTGGGGCTCCGCCCACCCTGCCAGCAGCGCCTCCAGAGCTGAGGAAATGCCAGCCTCGCTGCTAGTTCTCCAGACCCCGGCCTGTGTAGAGAGGGAAGAGCTGAGTTCTGCCCCGCTGGAGCGGACGCCGCTTCCCCTTGAGAATGAAGGAAAAGCAGAAGCATGTTTATTTAAACTTCTGCCTCTGAGTGACATCTGCAATTGGGCCTCCATCCTCTCTTAGCATGTCAAGAAAATATGTGGGCAGCAGCGCTCATCCCCACAGACAAGCCTGAGCGCCGGGCTTAATGGTGTGGCTGCAGGGGAGTGGGGCCCACTTCCCTGTGAGGGGCTGAGAGGGAAGTTCCACAAGCCCACCCTGACCGCCCCACCGCTTAGCCACTGCCATTCACCATAAAGGGAAGGCCAGGGCAGCTTGAGCTTGAGGGCCTTCAAGGAGCTGGGAGGGGGTGAGCTACGGCTCCAGGGAGGGCCTGGTGCGAAGGGGCGTCCTTGTCCCTAGTTCCCCAGACAACTGGCCACTGTGGAGGAGGGGAGGGAGGGAGGAGCAAAGACCAGAAGAGCCCAGAGAAGTGGGTCTTCCGCACCAGCCTGCCACGAGACGCTGCTCTCCCTGTCTCCTCGCAGCCCTCCCTGAGGACGAGGCCTGTGAAGTCCCAGAGAAGGAAGCAGGGATTCTTTGGGACACTGTGTGTTTCGCCTTTCTGCTCGTGCAGCGACGCATCTTCCTGAGCTATTACCACCTTTACGTGGTTGCCGATCAGGTGGCCGCCAAAGCAGTAGCGCACAGGTACCGGGAACCCGGGGGAAGACCTCAGATGGCTGGGGCACCCCTGGACGCAAGGACCCTTTAGTCAAAAGCAGCTCAGACCGCCTCCACGCCCTCCCTCCACACGGGGAAGAGCTGGGGCTCAGCAGGTGACTGACTCAGCAGGCTGCTGAGCTGGGCCACATGGAGCGGGACTGAGGCCAGCCCTCCCTGCCGAGGCCTCCCAAGTCTGGCTCCGGTCATCCTCTTGGTGCTGCTGACTACTGGGGCCATGAGGTCTCGGGAGACATACGGAGGACGGGCAAGGGTGACGGGCTGGCTGCTCCCTTTGCCGAGCGATGGCGAGTGCCAGCAACCCATGGCTGCAGGGAGCCACAGGGCTCAGGGCCAAAGACCCATCTGGGCAGCCCCTGCCCAGCACGGCCTTAGTCTCCACCCTAGTTCTCTGATAGTGAGCGGACCACCCAAGAGCCCGAGCTGGTCCCCTTCGTCAACTATATGCGGACCCTGCCCAGGGAAGGCGGATCCACTCTCGAGGAGATCACACTGTTCATTTCCTCCCTTTCAGCAGACACTGCCCTAGAAGTCCGAGAAGGCACTGAGCAGGCTGTGTCCCCTCGAACTCAGTAGCCTCTCACCCTCACACCTGCCCGACGACAGTGTCTCCAGGCAGTTCTGTCGCCTGTTGCAGTGAACTTGGCCTTTACGCGCCGGCGGTTCCCGGGCCCCGGAGAGAGAGGAGAGGCGGGGTCCCGTGGGGCGGGCCACAGGCCCCTCTTGTCCAAATGACATGGCTCATCCTGAACCCGGGTGCACAGCCTGACAATGCGGTTTTACCAACAGAGCCCACAGAGATGTCACCGACACTAAGATGATTTCTTCGAATGACTGTTTTTGCACATAGGGGCGCTGAGATACTGGAGCAGTCGCAAAGCAAGGCGCTGGCGCTCTCTGCGGAGGAAGAGATCAAGTCCCGGCTGGTCCTCAGGAAACAGTTAAGTTGGCTCTTCTTTCTTTGTCCGGGAAGCACAGCCCTGCCCAAGGCCGGACCCTGCCCACAGTGCTTCTCCCTTTCTTGGCACCAACGGCCCCTTTTCCTTGCTCATTTTGAGTTTCCCTGAGAAAGAGCCAGGGCGGGGATGGGGGGGGGGGGGAACGTTTCGGCCGGGAATGTGGCCCTGATGAGCCCTCGCTGTGGGCCAATCCATGGACGGAGGAGCAGAAATGCAGGCTGATTCTTTGAGTTCAGAACACAAAGGCAGGCTCTTCAGCGTGATGGGGGCATGAGCTTTCCCTGGGGCGACCCGCTAACAGACGTAGCTGCCAGATGAGGAGGGACGCTTGTACTCCTGACACTCCTGTAGCTTTGGCTACACCCCGGTTCCCGCCGAAGGCCGCTCCTTTGCCTTCCTGGGTCTGAGCTGTCTCTGGCAAAGGAGACCACCCGCTCATCTGACCAGCAAAACGGTGCCCTGTCCCTCCGCAGAGCACCCCAGTGGCACCCAGGAAGCTTTCAGGTGGAACACAGATGAATGTGTTTTCCACTTAAAGCTTACACTCTTCAACTGAACGCACCGTAGTGGGGAAATATCTAGACCCCCCGCCCCAAGCAAGTGACCTCCAGGTTATTATTGCTTAGGAAGAGACTAAGTTTAAGAAACAAAACTGACTTAAAGTCAAGCTCAAAAATGACATGTTGGAGACATCAGGGCATGTGCGTGACAGAGTTGGTAGGGTGGTATCTGGTTACCTGCTCAAGTCTGAACTCCCAAGCTTTGTGAGCCCACCGAGACGCCCCACCCGAGACCACATTCTACGCGCAGTCATCTGGGTTAGCAAAGGCCCCTCGCGCCTGTGCCCGGCTCAGCCCTCCTCTCACATCAGCTCCGTGCAGCCTCCAGAACGGGCACTGGCCCCAGGGGTGCTGGAGTTTGGACAGGGGTGTGGACGCAGTCCCTTAGTTACAGGAAACTTGGGAGCAGGGTTTGGGAAGCTCTTTCTTGGCCCCTGATTTTAGGGGGAAAGGCAAGTGGTGGAAGAGAAAATGGTTCTATCAGTGTGTCTTCAATTGCCAGGATGGATAAAATCAAAGAGAAGCAAAAGAAAATCGAGGCCCGGCAGCAAGCCTGCAGGAGTCCGGAGGCCCCCGCGAGCGGTGTGGAGGCCACGGGGCGCGTGTGCGAGGGAGGTGAGCTTGGCCCTGGTCGCGCAGCACCTGGAGGTGACCCGCCCCCAGGGGTCTGGGAACATTCCCTCCGCCCCCAGCTCCCACCCCCAAGTCACCCAGGCACCAGCAAGTAAGTGGACGTCTCTCCCCAGAATCACGGCGTCACGGCAGCGCCTCTGCCGGATGCATCTGAGGAGCCCAGACTTGGAATTGTGCTGTGAGGTGACACTCAGATTCCACACTGGAGCCACAGGGCTCCTCTCCCAACTGCACAGCCAAGCCCGGCTCCAGAAGCGTGCTGCACCCAGCCAGGCTCCAGAGCCCGGGATGACTGGCATCGCATTTGCTGCCTTCCAGTGTTGATTTTTTTTTTCCTTCAAAAAGCGCCTCCCCCAAAGGGCAGGTGGCAAAAGAATGGCACTGCCCAACACAACTCTTTCTAAAGTTGCAATCCTTAAACTGGACTGGATTTTCTCTTTCTTTTGGTTGAAAGAGTTTAAGAAAATAATGTCATCCCTTAGCTGTCAACTGCTGAGAGAGAGTCTGTTTTATCTGCAATTTATATGCAGAGCGAGATCGATGACTTAACCTTCCTAATTGGAGGACACACTGTGTGAATGAGTGGCAAGACTGAATTATGGTGCTTTTAAGAAGAGAGATTCCATTTAGTGCTTGCAAGTTCATGAAACCATTAGAACTGGTCTCCCAAAGTGGCCTGGCCCAGTCTCCTGGGGAACCTTCTGGAAGAGAGGGAAGCACAGCTTGTTAGGGCTCATGCCAGACAGATCTGCACATCCTTAAAACGGCCTATTATTCTACATTGTTTGTCCATCTCCTTTTTAAATTTCATTTTTACTAATCACTTTCTCCACACGAGTAATTCTGTAAGGGAGGGTTAACAGTCACTGCGTTGACTCCAGTTTCTTCAGATGGGTAGATTTGAGCCCAGTCCCGTTTTGAGTGGCCACCCCAGTTCAGGGGGGCGGTGCTAAGAGACTCTGGGTTTCATCTCTACCTAGATGACCTCCATAAGATGGACGATGAAGAGGCGAAAAAGTGGTGGCAGCCCTGGGTGAAGCATCCTTCCAGTAAGTTAGGGCGTGTTCACAGCCACGGGGCACACAGCCCTTCAGAGCCTGAGGACGGGGGCAGTTAGGCCAGGCGACCCTCAGCAGGCCCAGGAGTCTCCAGGAAATGCCTGTCCCTGCACACCAGCAGCACGTGCAGGTGGCAGGAGCCCATGCTGCCGCCCACGGGGTGCTAGAAGCGCCCCTTGCGTGCCAGGGTAGTCATGTCGTTCCATGACTGGTGCCTGCTGAGCGGCTGAGTGTCTGCAGCTGAACAAGAACTGAGGTCTGGAAGTTATGTGGCTACCTAGGTGGACAGAAAAAGGAGACGGAAATCCACAGGGTCTAATGTGAAGCAGCCATACTAACAGATCATTTAAGTCTAGTTAGAGGGAGAAGCAAGCCTGTCTGCACAGCGCTTGCGCCCGCTGGAGAAGGGAGGAAAGCGTGTGGGAGACAACATGCCCACCGGTCACTGAGACGCTCAGCACGCAAAGTCCCTGGACCCAGGGCCAAAGGGCGTGTGTCCAATTTCTTTTCCTGGACGTGTCCCCAGTGGTCCAGGAGGGCAGCTACAGCCTCTTTGAGACGGACAGCGAGGAGGAAGAGGCGGAAGGAAGCCAGGGAGAAATGAAAGATCTTCGGCCAAAGCCCAAGACAGCTTTCCAGGTAAATGCGCTCTGCTGGGGCCCCTGCGCGCCCCTCCATGCACCGGACGCCTCCTGGGCTTGAGCAAAGGGGGCACCCTTGCCTGCGAGCTGTCTATGCTTCGGAAAGACACACCCAACACCAGTGTGTGCGCCAAAGGCACAAGCACACTGCACGCAGTAGGTCAGGTTTTGCAGAACAAGGGTCCTGAAACGGGACTTCCGCCGGGGATGTTCTAGTTATAAAAAAAACGAGTGTTGCTTCCGGGCCTGTCACTGTGGGCGCGGGCGCGGCCGCCCGCCCCTCCCTGCCTTCCTGGCCGCAGGCTCCTGAGGGAGGGTTCGGGAAGGTGGTGGAGCTTGAGGAGCCGGTCAGCTGATCTCCAGGGTCAGCAGGACCCCTCGGCACCGTCACCCCACGGCAAAACCAAGCGGGCGGGGGTGGGGCTGCGCCCATGGGTGCGCCAGGCACCGGGACAAGTCATTTGAAGACACATCTCAGTCCGCCTCACCGCTGCGTCTCTGCTGCACCTCAGTATTTCAGGTTTTGTCTTGTGTGCGCTTTGGCTGAGAGTCATGACTCAGCACAGTACGAAGGGAAGGGGAAAGCACCCCATATGTTACTTACTCTTTGCTCCTGTCTTCAGGGATTCATTTTGCAAATTTGTTGGCAAAGCCAGGCTTACTTAAAGCAGATCCGCGAGAGGCTGTCACCCTGCTTTAGCCTTCATACCAAGCAGCACTGACTTTTCCGGGAACCAGGAGCGAGATCATCCAGCAAAATTCCGTTCGGGGCTGACTTTGATGTTTCCGTGTCCAGATGCAACTTTAAACATCTTTTAAATTCACCAACCACTCCTAAGAGGCCTTTCCCTTCTGAAAGGAAATTACTTGGAACAAATATGACATCGATTTTCCATCTCCCTTGATTAGCCTCCCTTGGCCTGATTTTCGGGGTGGAAGGCGTGCCGGCGGCGGGAGCACACAGTTAGCGCGGCTGCTAATTAGATCGCGCGACCTTTAGCAAGGAAAGGAGGGTCTGGGCCCGACAGCGCCTGCCCCCGCCGAGCGGGCCCTGACGGCTGTCTCCGCAGCTCGCACACGACGCGTGGACCAACAGCTCCCAGTCTGCTCTCAGGATGAGGCGGCGGGACGAAGGAGAGATGGAGAGGGACGAGCAGGACCAGGACCAGCGGCGCCGCGGTGGAGGCAGCGTCGACGGCAGAACGGGTCTGTGTGGTGACTCTGATCAACAGATGGTCAAGTAGGAAACACTTGGGTCAAACAGTGCTGGCTTGTGACTGGGCCCATTGACGGCAAGTGGGCCGTGCAGGAAAGATGAGGTCATGAGCGCGTATAGGAAGCATAGGGGACCTTTTATACGCACTGGTGAAGGGGGGCATTATGGAGGTGGCCCACACAGCTCGGACAATGGGGTATTTGCTGAAGGGCCGACTTGTTAGTCTGAGATATCGGGGGTGAGGGTGGGGGAGGGCTATGCATTTTTCCACGCCTGTTTTCCATAATGGCTAGAGCTGTGGAACGCACTGGCCAGAAGCAGAGAGAGATAAATGCGTGGCCTGTCGGGTGCCCGGTCTCTCCTAAGGGAGGCGTTCGCTGGTGTTCAGCCCTGGACCCTGACGAGCATGCATCCGGAGCCAGTACAAACTGGCAAGGCTTCCCTCCCCAAACAGACTGCTTCCCCAGCGTCTGTGACGAAGATCAGGTGGTTAGATATTAATGCCTGCAGTGTACCAGTGACCCCAAGAAGTGCCCACAATGTTATTTATGTTTAAGGCGAACCATAATTTCCACGGCCCCACCAACATGCCTGCTGCGGACACAGACGCCCCTATTGGGATGGAGGGAACAGTCACAAAAATGTAAATGGAAAACAGACGGGAATGTCCAACGGCTGTCTGTTTTGTTTTTCTTTGGTGTGATTCAGGAGGTGAGAGCCTGGCAGCTTGTGAGCCTGATGTTGAGGCAGGAGCAGAGGATTCAGATGAACCTGGTATGTGCAGCCCTCCCGCCACGTCCCCAACAGAAAAAAAACCTATAGACGAGAAACGTGTTGCTCAGCCTGACAAGCTCCCTCGGAGGTGGAAAGGGGTCGATGGAGTTCAGAGATGCCTCAAGCCTACCCCGGAGGTCAAGGGGCTTTCCCGTGGCCTCAGCGGACTCCCGCGCCAGGGGGCAGGCCGGCGCTGTGGCCCCTCTCAGGGTGCTAAGGGAGGGTTAGGGCTGGGTCTCCTCAAAGGGCTTCGCCCTCTTGAAGACGAGGGTGAGGAGGCTGGTATCCTGGGGCCTGGGGAAGACTGGCAGGCATCCACACCAAAGGCCTCTGGACTGACTGTCAAGGTTAGATGTGCGCCCTAAGGCCATTGGGAACTTGCTCGCAGCCCCTTGGCTGGAGAGCGCAGAGCACCATCAGAGGTGGGGCACCTGCCTGTCACATTTTCTCCACTTCTTGTGGCTTGTTTCACCTCGTCCCCACCCCTGCCCACAGGTGGCATCTGGTCAACAGTGTTCAGGCTGATGAACCCCTTCACGTCTTTCCCGCTGCCCCCGTCTCCACCCCACTAGCTGTTGGGACCCTGGCTAGGGACTTAACCTCCCCCTTCACCTGCAGGAGGAGGGTGGTAAGAGACGCTCCTGCTACTTGACAGGAGGGTCAGAACAAAAACGTGCGGGCACCAGGAGAGAGGCGGCGCCAGTAAACAATTAAGGACATGCTTTAAAATTTCAAAACCCTTGTCCTCACCTGGATAATGTCTAACGTGAGCCCCTTTTCCAATCTGCAACTCAGCAGGCTTGCCAGTCTCCCCCTGCGCCCCCACATTTCACAAATTTGAGATCAAAGAAGTCCCGATCTGGGATCCTTAATCCAAGGATAAAAACCCTGATCTCAAGGCTGCTCGCCAGGGCCCATGCTTAAACAGGCGGGTCCACAGGCTTCATTCTGCAGATGACCACTCGTGTCTGTTCTGTGTTAGTGATCAACGAAATGGCTCTGGAAGAAAGCGCGCCTTCCTCGCACCAGGCGCAGCTCTGCGGCCCGTCACGCGGCAGGCTCCTGGCTGCGTGGGAGGGGCCAAGAGTCAGTGTGGTTTTGCGGACCGTGTCTGCAGAGCTGGGCCAACGCAGAGACTTATCAGACAGCCCCTCCAGCGTCACTCTTGCGTAACACGTGAAAGGAAACTGATTACTTAATGTCTAACAGGGAGAGAATCTGGACCACCTCGGCATGGAGTGTTCCTCCTAACAGCCAAGCCCTTCCCGACACACCCTTGCCTGGCGCACAGGGTCCTCCCCTCCAGGACCCCAAATGACCCTTCCTTCAGGGCAAACTAGGCAGCTGGGCTCGGACCGCTGCCCCCGTCTCCACCCCACTAGCTGCTGGGACCCTGGCGAAGGACTTACCGTCCCCCTTCATCTGCAGGAGGAGGGTGGTAAGAGACCTTCTGACAGGAGGGTCAGGACAAAAACGTGCGGGCACCAGGAGACAGGCAGCACCAGTAAAGAGGAGCTGTGCACACGCAAATGCCAACGCAGCCCTAGAGGCATCCAGACACTCCCGGCCCTTCAGGGGCACGCTGCTGCCCTTCGGCTTCACCACACGTCCCCCACCAGGCAGGAACCAGTCGTGTGGGGGAACTCCCCAGGCAGAGCCTCCCTGTAGCAGCTTCTCCATGGCAGGTTGGGGTGGCTAGGTTTGCCCCTGTCTCCAGGAGCAGGGCACTACGGCAAAGAGTGACAGTCTGCAAGGGCTGCATCGACCAAGGCACCAGCTGGTCTGTGCTGTCACCAGCCACTGGTCATCCGGAGGCCTCTCCGTGGATTGTTCTTGTTCTCTCCTCTCCCAGCAGAAAGCAAAACCCGGAGGCTCCTCGCCATGGCGCAGTTCTCCTGGGTGCTGGGGAAGGTGCTGATGGATGATATCATCGAGGCCCTGGGCAACATGTGCAGGGACAGCACCATGGTGGCCATGGCCTTGAGGGAGGAGCGCTTTGTGTGGTGGCGAACTATTAGCAAGGCAAGCCTCGCCGCGGCAGGCAGACGTGGCTTTCTCTTACGTTATCAATTTCTTTTAATTATTCCATCCTGACACTTGGAAGTCACTCCGTAATCAGACAGATGATTTATGCCTTGCATCAGCTCCTGGGGACGACGGCTGAAGGCCTCCGCGCCAGCCCCTGCCCACCCCTTGCTCACACGCTCCCGGCAGTCCCGACCGGAGCCTCTCGGGGGCCTCTGTGCCCTGCCACCTGTGTCCACAACTCCCAAAGGAGTCTTGGGGTCATCTGTGCCAGCAGGAGACCCCCCTTGGTGACCCCAGCTCTCTTCCTGAGATGCACTCACAAGGAATTGCCCGCCGCAGCACCCTCCAGGGACAGGAACACTCCCAGACCCATCCTCCTTCCCCTCCTTGTTCTCATTTGATTCTTTATTTTCCAAAATAATGAAGACCTGAAATTTCTCTGCAGGGGAAACCGGCCAGCGTGGGCAGCCACGCCCTGCTGCAGGAGGCCCCCCAGGCAGCCCCGGCCAGGAGGGAAGAGGGGCTGGCCGAGGGGCCAAGTAGCAAAAAGCCACCTGGGTCCCAGGAGCCCCACCAGGAAGACACCCCACTGCTGCAGGAAATGGAGAGCAAAACGGCTGCGGAAGACCAAGGCGGAAGCCCCCGCGGTCTCGGCCCAGAGGCGCCCCTGATGCTGGCAGCAGGCTGCCCTCCACTCCCGGGAGCCTCCCTGCCCCAGGAGGACCGCAGGTAAAAAGGGTCCCCTGTGAGACCCCAGACTCTCTGAAGGTCAAGACTCTGTTTTTTGGGCCAAGGACGTTGTCAGACTGTTAAAGGAACCGTTTTTGCTGATGCCGCCAACTGTGCGCTGACGGCACAGGGCCCAGGCGGGTGGGCGGCAATTCTCTTCACATGGGAAACCGGGCTTTCAGGGAACGGGGGGCCGCCCCGGTGGATGCTGACGGGGCCCCTTTTCTGTGCATTCTAAGTGATCCAAGAGAAAGCTGTGACATTGCAAACACACCCCTTTAAAAAAGTCCCCGGGCCAGCTGAATGAGACAGGCGCCCCAAGCACGCCCACCAGAGTGCAAAGGGGAGGGGCGGGGCGGGGCGGGGCGTCTGAAGGAAGGACATCTGCCCTGAAACCGGCTTCCTCCCGGTCCCGTCCCCGGGCACGAGGGCACAGCTGAGAGAACAGTACCTGACTGCCAGGGTGCAACGGGGAGATGGCCATGTGGCCAGGTCAAGCCCATCAGGCCGGGGACAGTGGCCCTTGTCAAGCTCCTGCCACCGGCGGGCCGTGTCCTCCACGGTGTGCAGAGCTAACTCCATTAGCCAACTCAGCCTCCCCGCGGGAGGTAGCAATACCATTCTCATCTGACACAAGAGGACGCACGCAGCATGCGTGGCTCGCCCCAGGTCACGTGGCCGCCACTGTCTGCTGCCTCGGTGCCAGGGAGGGCCGGGTGTCCAGGAGCAGTGCGTTCGGTCCCCGCCACCCCTCCTCCCCCACTGGTCTGGTGCCAGGGCTACTGTGGGGCCACCCCACTGCCGCTGTCCAGGCTCAGAGCGGCTCAACCCGGAAGGCGTCGGGCAGTTCCCTGGCCTCCTCTGATGTGCACGCCACCAGCCTGAGGGGCCCTGCCCAGACGTGGCGCCCAGCCCCCTGCATGCCAGCAAGCTACCCTGCTCTCTGCGGCGTGAGCCCTGCAAGGACGGGCACGCTGTGCCCACCTCTGTGCCTCCGCCTCTGTCTCAGGGTCTTAAGCACAAGTCTTTAGTGTCTGCTGAGACACTTGTTAAAGCAACACAGTTGCCAAAGCTAATGCAGGAATAAACATCAAGACGGTCCCAAGTGGCTGCAAATTCCAGATGAGAGGCGTCTGGAATCAAAATTCATGAGGCTGCTTGTTAAAATCTAGAACACCCTTGGACACGAACGCAATTGATTGGTCATCAAAGGTTTTAAAACATGGTGTCTCTGAGGTCTAGAGAAGCCACAGAGACGGTAATGCAGTCGCTGTGGTGGGCCGGGGCAGGGAGCACAGCAGGAGGATGAGGGGACCCCACCTAGGCAGGATGTCCCTCGCAGACAGTGAGCAGACAAATTGCAGAGGCGCTGACAGCCGCCCCCTCGCCGGTGCATCCACCTGCCCAGAGCCAGGACGCCCCGCAAGCTCTGGCTGCAGAGCGCGGCTCAGCGGCTGCCCGCGGGTCCCAAAGCCAGAATGATCTGTGACGCCAGCAGGCAATGGCCCAGTTTTCTCATTCCTGCGGCAACCCAATGCCGTCCTGGGTGCGCAGAGCAGGCTGCGGCGGCTCGCCGGCAGCCAGGAGGCAAAGCAAGCCGTCCTTTGAACTTGACTACTTGTTTGAAAACTTCATAAAGAAAGTGAGCGACTGAGTTTTTTGCCAATCACATAGAATTGTCAATGCATCTGGGAGTGCCCATTAAAGAGAAAACTTTGTGGCTGAGAGCAGCAGGGAAGGGAGCGGCGGCTCCCTGGAGGAGTGTGGGACGAAAGGGTTTCTTTGACCTGATGGGTTTCTCACGGTCTGGGCCACGGGCCTGTCCTTCCTCGGCTCACAGCAGGGTCTCTTCCTCCCTCCAGGAAGCACCGGGACCCTGAGCTGGAGCAATCAGACAGGTTTTACCGGAAACTGCCGCGCCCGGTCAGGCTGGTCTTTGCTTTGTACCAGGTGGCCGAGTCCAGGTCGCTGCTGCTGTGCTACTGCGCCATCATTCTGAATCACACGCTCTCGGCGTCGATTCTCACCATGGTTCTCCCCATGCTGTCCTTCCTGTGGGCCATGCTTTCCATCCCCAGGCCCTCCAGACGGTTCTGGATGGCAGCCACCTACTACACAAAGGTAGGTGCCAAGGGGAGGGTCCTCGTAGACCCAGGTCCCACTGGCTGACGAGGGCCCCCCTCCATCACCAGACCAACCCCCACATGCCTTTGATGGGGCTTCCAGCCTAACTTGGTAGAATCAAGTTAGGGAGGTGGTGGGAGAGGGGGAGGGCCAGAAAAAGGAATTCCCACACTCAGCCGCCCACCCACCCCCAGCTCAGCTCTTCGGAGAGCGCATTAGCTCTCAAGAGTCAGATGGGTGCTCCTTGGGCACCTCGCGCCCAGCACACTGCTCACACAGTATGCGCGGTGGGCTTAGTCCACAAAGTGGGCTTTGGTGATGCATATTTCTATTTTTTTAATTTAATTTTATTGGGGGGGCATCTTGGACATAATTTACTACCAGCTCTTTCTCTGCTGCACTTTCTGACTCGGATGCATTTGTAAATTTGAAGATAGCCTGTCTGTGAAATTAATTAGAGCAAAAGTTAAGCACCAGTCATTAGGTCGTTCTCTCACCACATCATTTATAAGCCTGTCCGAATGAACTACTGCCCCCCACCGCCCCTGAGCATCCAGGGAGGAGGGGACCTCCTGGGCCAGAAGGAGCAGTGAGTGGGGCTCCTCAAGACCTGCTCCCTCAGCTCTGAACCCAGCATCGTGAGGTGGGAAGCAAGGTTCTGTCAAGTCACCCCAGTAAGCACCACTATGAGGAATACATAATCCACTGGGAGGCTTACAGTTCATAAAGCCTGTTACATCTCTTGGCGCATAAGTAGATTGCCCCAATCGGAAGATCTATTATTGAATGCGTTGTTAGAGTTAGGAGATCAAGATGAAACGGATGTTTTGATTTCCTACTTACAGCTGAATCCAACAGAATCTGATTCCCCTAAAAGTATTCCTATGACTTTGATGTTTAGTGAATGTCATCTTACACCTGAAGGGCTTGGTCTGAATCATCTAGGTGGTTCCATCTCCCTTCACATCCCTCACCTTATCCCGGGCTGGCCAGGACATTTGGAAGGCAGGCCTTGGCTCAGATTGCAGAGAAGGGACCCTGGGCCTAGAAAACACACCTGAGGTCACTCTGGGGTTCACATCTCCCGCCACCAGGCTCTGTGCTTACTGATCCTCGCTGGACAGCAGGAAAGGGCAATACTGTCTGACAGTGGGGGGCCTTCTTCCCCATGAGACCCGCTCAAGCCTCACAACAACCCTCCACTCCTACTGGATGGATCAGTCCTCAGGGGAAACCCATCAGTTTTGCCCCAGGCCTGTGAAGGCCCAGCTACCATCCACAGGACCCGTCGTGACTCCACACATGAGGTCAACTATGGACAAAGAAAGGCAGACTGGGGCCTGAACCTGTCCCGTGACCACTTTTGGGCAACGGGCATGCAGTGGCTGCAGGAGCCCCTCACCACTAACCAGAGGACCGGCTTGCCATCCCCCTGCAGCCGGACCAGCAGGGAGACACCTTTTGCTTAAAGAACCAGAGAGCCAAATCGGAAAGGCCCATCTAACCCGACCCTCATCTTACAGACAAGGAAGCCCGAGGGTGCGGGGCAGCAGAGATGCTGAGCTCAGGCCCAGTGCACCTGCTCCTGCAGAGGGAACAGGGTGCTGCTTCTCCACACTCATGCTGCCGGCATCACTGGCGGCAGGCACCTGGGGCCACTGCCCCCCCCCCCATGGAGGTGCCTCGCCACTTCCAAACAGAGGTCTCACCCGCTGACCCCCAAGGGGTCCCCTCCAGGCATGAGACTATTTAGGTGACTGAGGAACCTCTACCTTCAGCTGTAGCATGGGGAGCAGTTCTCTCTCCGGGCATCACCCCCCGCACGGCATCCCAGAAAGCCGGCAACATCCCACGTCAGCAGGCCCTCCCCAGGCCCGGGCGCCTGCTTCCGCATATGACTTTGCTCATCTAGCATCATGAGAAGGACGGGGTCTTCAGGTGACCCTTTTCTCTGGCCAATGGGAATAGTCTTTTTTTAGCATTTTCAGCATAAAAAGACAATCTCTTACCCCACCGCCCTGGGGCTGCCTGTGAGGGGCGGGCGGGAGCGTCGGCCCCCGTAAGCTGACTTGGCGGGCGAACTTAGAAGGGGCTACAAGCACCAAGAAATGAAAGCAGCCTGGAGTCGCGGGGGCCGCCCTCTGCGTCCACCATGGCTCCTGCCTTTTTCCTTCCTTTCAATCTCCAGGCTCTGCTGATGACCAGACGGCCCTCTCCATGCACGAAGCCTCTTAGCATGCACGGAGCGTCTCCCTGGGTGTCTGCTCCTTCAGGGGAGCGTGTGGGACATGTGCGTGTGTGTGCTCGTGTGCGCTCACTGGGGCGTCCGCAGTGACACGTCTCTCTGGCCTTCCCTGTCTAGGCCACCATCGTGGTGAAGTATTTTTCGCAGTTTGGATTCCTGCCCTGGACCACAAAGCGGTACGCCGGCATCAGCAGGGAGAAGCCGTTCTCCCTGCCCAACATCATGGGGATCGAGAAGAAGGACAGCTACGTCCTGTGTGACCTCCTGCAGCTGCTGCTCCTGTTCTTCCACCGCTCCACCATGAAGGTACGTCAGCCAGAGGCGCGGCCTGGGCTCACGCCCCCAGTCCCCTCTGCCGCATCTCCCCCTTTGTAACTGAAGTGAGAGGTGGCTTGGCCAGGGCCAGAGTGGACGCCCACATTCCAGGCCACTTCTGGTCAGCCGCTTGTCATTTCGCTGCTGTTCCCCATTCCGGGGTATTTTCCTCTCGGTGAGTTTTGCAGGATTGGGTTTGAGACTCTCCCTTCGGCGTCTGAGCCCCAGAAGAGCTCACGTCAACACAGCCCTCATACAGCTCTGCGTCCCCGCAGCCTGGCCTCACACCCTGTGGGGTGCCCACACATCGCCTTGTTGCTCCCCAACTGACTTCAGGGAATCCCCAGCTTTTCCCAGACCTTCCAGCTTATTCCAACATCCGAGACTTCTGCCCCACCCCCTTTTCTGGGAACCTCTCTCTCCAGCTCCCCACCACCATCTCCCGCTTCCTCCCCAGGGCAGGCCAGACTGGACAGTGAGTGAGAAGGCTCAGAGGACAGTTTGTCCACTGCCGTTTCACGGACAGTTGTGTGTCCTCCTTTTCTAGAAACAGCTTCGGGAAGTGTCCTCGCTGGCTGGGCGCTCCTTCCTCCCTACCCGGTTGTTCCCTGGCTCTTCCCAGCCCTCCGGCCAGCCCGAGTCCAGGCACCCTCCCAGGCACTTTCTCACAAAAAGTCAGGTCCCAGGATGGCCTGGACAACCTTGAGATTAGGAGTGAAGGTGATCCTGCACAAATGCCCTGTTCACGGGCCCCCGCCTTGGCCCAGAGTTCCCTCTGGTTTGGGAATGGCCCCCACATCAACCTCTCTCCTGGCTCTCAGCTGATTCCTCTGTGCTGCCCCCTCCCCACCCGTCCTGCAGGCCTTGGGGCCCAGGGTGTGCAAGCGGTAACGCCTCACGCTGGCCTCACCCCTCAGGGCATAGGGCTATGGGACCATCAGCCATCTAAGCAGCAGCCCAAAAGCAAGGGGAAGAAAAAGAGCAGGAGGAAGGGGAGAAAAGCCAGTCGAGGGGCTCCAGGCAGCAGCTTCCCCCAGAGAGCGGCCAAGCTGGACCTCTCCTCCCAGGAGCGCGCAGGCCACCGATGGGCCTTCTGGAAGGGCTGGCGAGGAGCAGGAAGTAGAGGTAGGCAGCCGAGAGCCAAGAAGGAGCCCCCATTAGTCTCACTCCGCTACAAAGTCTGGGCCATGCGGCCATGGGTCCCCAAGCTCCTGGGCTGCGAGAGGGTCTCGTGGTCATACTGCCAGGCCCCACCACACACCTTCTCCGCTCCGCATGCACACGTCCTCCGGCCCCTTGGGTCAGGGAAGGCAGAACACTTGCCCTCAGGTCTTTGCCCAAATGCAGGCAGAAACCTCCCGGGTTTCTCTCCCTCACTCCGGGTCCAGGGTGGGGGCAGGTGGTCCGAACCCAAACAGCTTCTGGAAGAAAAGGTCTAGGGGAGCATCTGTATCACTGTGCCTTGCCAGGGGGTCCCAAAGACCCAGGACCCAAGAAGGGACACAGCTTCCGCAGGAAGTTGCGAGTCATACGGAAGAAATTCACCAGAAAGATGCTGAAGAAGCTGCTGGAGAAAGCCAGGAAGCTGGCCATCAGCAGGTGATCGGGGACGCTCGCTCAGAAGCAGTGGGGCACTGAGGCCAAGACAGTGCACAGAGGTGGCAGTCAGCCCCTTGTCACAGACAGAGCTGGCATGGAGACCACTTCCATGGAGCCAGGCGGCCCCCTGGGAGTCAGATCCCAGACCTGGGCCTGCCGTTACCAAGAGCGCCGCCTCCTCTGCCGCTGGCCCGTCTGTGGGACTGTGGTCACCGTGCTGTGCCCCGGCCCTCGCCATGTCTCACTGTGGTTCTCCTTTGCCCGCCTGTCCAATCATGCCCCCATGCAGCCATCTTTGGAGCTACCGCCCACCCTCCTGCCACCTTCCTGTGCTCCCTCCTTCCTTCCTCAAGCGTCTCTGGATGCCTCATCCTTCCTTCCTTCTCCTGCCTCTCCGCCCGCCACCCCCACGCACAGCCGCAGGCGTGAGGCCTGTGTTCCAGTCAGACGGGCGCGCGGCACGCTGTCCCAGGGCAGCTCTGCACCCTCCTCCCTGGGCCTGGGCTCCTCAGCCCCACGCGGCAGGTGAGGAAGCCGACGCTGGGAGAAACAGAGCACCTCCACAGTGTCGAACCGAAGGCCTGAAGCCAGGCCGTCCCACCACCACGCTCTTGTGCTATCTGAAGAGAGGGCTGGGGGCGGAGTGGTGAGGCCTGCCCAGGGGACGCTCCCTGTGGTGTGGTGTGGTGTGGTGTGGTGAGGAGCGTGTGGGAGGTTGCCCCCTGCACACCCAGCACTGCCCTCCGCACTCGTGGCAAACACAGGTTTTGGGAAAACGAGCCCATGTGTCATCTTCGGCTTCCCCACCTGCCCAGCCAACGAGGTGCCCCGACTTCTTCCCAGAGTCTTCCAGCCGATGCCTGGGTCGACACCGGGGTCTGGTGCAACCCCGAAGTAGCCCACAGCATCCTCTCCCCCCCACCGCAGGGCCCTCCAGATCTACCGCCCCATCCGCCAGTTCTTCTACCACCTCACTCACCCCCAGGTCACCTCCACGTGTGACGTGTACGCCATCACGTTTCTGGTGGAGGCGCTCAACTTTGCCATCATCCTCTGTGGGTACGGGTCCTTTGGGGTAAGCCAGCACGCCTGTACCCCGCGCTTCTCCCCAGACTGCGAGCTCAGCACTCTGGTTTTCTTGGAACCCCTGCCCAGAGCCGCACTTTTCCCGTGACAGCCTCCGCTGTCCTTAACAAGCCGGCAGATGACAGGATAGCTTTGCCCTCGGCTTTAATAGCGCAGAGCGGTCTCTCTCTGTTTTTTTCAGAAGAGCAATTCCACTGACTCCATTACTGAAATGGCTTTTGCCTCCCGTGCCCTGTCCAAGTTGCTATGTTGTCGTTTTATTGCCGCTCTGAAAAGCTCCCACTAATTAAGGTGAAAGCGAGTACAAATGGTTGCAAGGCCCAGGCCCGTCACTGAGCTGACCGCGTGGGCTTCCTCAGAGCCCAGCAGCTGCCACGGCGTCTGTCCAGGGTGCCCACCTCTCTTGGCCACACATTTGCCAAAGAGTGGCTGGAGGCAGAGAGCAGATGCCCCGCAGCACCCTCGGCACCGGCCCGTGCTCAGCAGGGGCAGAGAGTCCCCTCCAGTGTCTTGCTCAGTCCTGGGGCTCACGGAAGGGTCAAATGAGGCCTCAACTGAGGAAACAGGACACACATCCAGAAGATCCAGGCCACGGTCAAAGGTGGGGGATGTCCACGTCCCAGGGCCATGAGGCCAGTCGGTGCCCTGGGGTGCATGAGAGAAGACACTCTGCTTGGGGGCGAGTAGGAAAGGTCGGGATGACTTCCTGGAGCCAGATGTTACAAGGCCGGAAGGGCAGGCAAAGGAGAAAGGGGTGCACAGAAGAGCAGTCAGTGGGTAAGGGAGACCTCCTTGCAGGTCAAGAGGAACTGGAGGGGGTGCCCCAGCTCAGGCTGGAAGCAGAGGGCCCCCAAGACGGAGGGCAGGCAGGGGACCTGTTCTGAAGCTCTGGTGGTGACCAGAGGAGCGGGACAGGGAAGCGCCCCAGGGCAGCACATTGTGCACCCGTGACGCCTCTTCCCTAAGGGCCTCTCTGCCTCCCCCCCCAACCCCAGAAATCCTCAGGTGCGGACTTGGCTGAGTCCCTCTCAGAGGACAAGGTGCCCGAAGCCTTCCTGTCGATGGTGCTGCTCCAGTTCGGCACCATGATCGTGGACCGGGCGCTCTACCTGCGCAAGACGCTGTTCGGGAAGTGCGTGTTCCAGGTGGCGCTGGTCGTGGGCATCCACTTCTGGCTCTTCTTCATCCTGCCGGGCATCACCGAGAGGTACTGTGCGGCCTGGCGGCCCTCCTGTCTCTGTTCCCGAAGCAGGAGAACCCCACCTGCCTGGGCAGCGCTCGTGGCGCCTGAGGAGCACGGGGCCAAGCCTCTGCGCCAAGCTGTGCCTGAGGGGCTGGGTTTGGGGCTGGCAAACAGTGTTGTAAATGCCGGGGGAGGCGGTTTAGGGCCAGGTGGCGTCCACCTGCGGGCAGCCTGAGTCAGAGCGGCAGGAACAGGAAACCTCCCCATACGGGGTTTCCTAAATTCCTCTCAGAGAGAGATCTGCAGCAAACTTGCTGGGGCGCATTTCTCCTTACGTCAAGGGCTTCCGAGGTCTCTGTGACGAGATCATCTCCACTGGCCCCAGGAAGAAGATTCACGGATTATCTTAACAGTAAATCTGCAGCCAGCCCAATGGGGCGGCCCCCGCACCTGCCGCTGCAGATGTGGCTCCTTTGGCAAGAACAGCTGGGGGGATGAAAACTCGCCTTTCTCAGGAAAGCAAAGGGCGTGCAGGTGCCCCCACATCAAATCTCTTGGGGAAAGGGAGTTTCATTTTTTTCTTCCTTTCTCCTCCAGCTGACAATTCCCGGCGACCATGCTGGGTTTCCTCTGGGCTCTGAAGGGTCCCGAGAGGCTGGACACAGTGTGGGCTCCTCGCACATGTCCGGGGTGGGGACCTGGTGGCCCCATGACAACAGTATTACCAGCTTTTCTGGGCATTTGCAGGAGATTTAATTTCAACCTTGTGGCTCAGATCTGGTACCTGGTGAAATGCATCTATTTTGGCCTGTCCGCCTACCAGATCAAGTGCGGCTACCCAGGCCAGATCCTTGGCAACTTCCTGGCCAAAAACTTCAACCTCATCAGCCTCCTCTTGTTCACAGGGTGAGTGGAGCTCCCACTTCAGATGCATCTGGCTGGGGCCCTCCAGGGTCTCCCACGGCCTGTGCAGAACAAATCCGGGGCCCACGCTGGGAGGAATGGGGTCTCTCCCATGGGCCCTCCCCTGGGAAGGCCCTGGGCCCACGCGCGGGGCTGGCCCTATCTCACATGTGCCTTGTGCACCTGTTCTTCAATGTCACCCAGCAAATGTGTAACTCGGAGAAGGCCTTTTCCTCTTTGCCCCCAATATGCCTTCCCCGTGTTAGGGGCTGATGGGGATCCAGGACAGGTGCCCCTGCTCTGGGGTAGGTGAGCCGGGGCTCTGGGCTTTGGGGCATGGACTGAATTGCCACTTGGTAAAATGCAGGCAGCGCCGTGGCTGAGACCCCAAGGTCTGACCCCTCCATCCTTTCTCTCCGTGGAACCTCCAGTCCCTCAACTCAGAAGCATGTCCAGCTTTTCACCTTCCCACCTGGGACTGCTGTCCCGGAGGGACCCCACGCTGCCCACCCCCACCCACAGAGCTGCCGCCACCCCATTCTTCGGGTCTCGGCATCAAGGCTTTCCCCAGCCCGCAAGCTCAAGTGTTCCTGCCCCTTCCCAGCTCGCCTCCCGCACGGTGCTCACCACTACCCATGGCTGTTCCACCCGCTGGCAGCGCCCTCCAGCCAGCACGCGCACGCTCGCTGCTTGTCCTAAATGCCCAGCGCGGGGCCAGCGGGGTTAGGGTTACTTGCTGAAAGGATGAACAGATAGGAAGGCTGAGGTGGGCGGGGGTGAAGCGGGGTGCGAGGGGAAGGAGCGGGGTGAGGTGATGGGGTGGACAGGGTGGGAGGAAAGGCACGAGGGAGACGCAGTTACAGGGGCAGGTTGGATGGGCTGGGCCACGGGTGGCACGGTGCCCTCCAGCCTCCTGGGGGTCCTCTCCGCACTCAGGTTCCGCTTCATCCCCTTCCTCCTGGAGCTGAGGGCTGTCATAGGCTGGGTGTGGACTGACACTGCCCTGAGCCTGTCCAACTGGATATGCCTGGAGGACATATATGCCAACGTCTTCATCATGAAATGCTGGCAGGAGTCTGCGAAGGTAGGCACACCACGGCTCCTGCCTCTCAGGGGACTTGCAGATGGCAGCTTTCCTGGCCTCTCCCTATTCCTCAGAGCAAGGCACTTCCCATTCTGCCCGGGGCTCAGGTGCTCCTGTGATGGCACACCCTGGAGCGAGCTCTTCTGGGCACTGGAGCTTGTCCCAGTCCCCAGCGAGAGGGCAGACCTTATGCTAACTCTGTGGGTGTTCACACCCACCCGATACTGTTCGCTGCTACTCCTGTGTTCCCGGGGCCAGGCCGCTCGGGGTGGCTCTGTGCCCGCCACCGCGCAGCTAGTCAGCAGCGGGTTGGACGTGGATCTGAATCTCAGCACTGAATCCCAGTGCTTTGGGTACCAGACAGTCCCAGAATTGGCAACCTTCCCCCAAACTGGAAGGGTCATCTGCCAACCCGGACCCCCAGTGTGGCCCTGACCAGTGTGTTCTTCAAATGCAGAAATACCCACAGCCTCCTGGGCGGAAGAAGAAGAAGGTTGTGAAATACGGAGTCGGGGGCGTCATCACATTTGCCCTGGTCTTCCTCATGTGGTTCCCTCTGGTTTTCATGTCCCTGCTGAAGACAGTAGGCGGAGTGACCAACCAGCCCCTGGACGTGTCTATCAAGATCGCCATCAACGGTTACGAGGTGGCTGGAGTAGGGGGGCCGGGTGCCCATGCTGGGCGGGGGGGAGGGCAGCTGCCAGCACCTGCTTCCCAGCTGGACACCTGTGCCCCAGATGCGAATATACGGGGCTTACACCAGCCACTGGGCCTTTATTCTTGCTGTCCCTCCCCCCAAACATCCTCTTTCCCACCATCTCCCCCACTGCCAGCCCCTAAAGAGATCTGAGTCTCCCTCCAAGTCTCAGCTTGCTCCAGTTTGTGCGCTCACTTCCAACATGCCCCCCAAAGAGAACAGAAGTCTCGAGGGCCATGCAGTGGCCCCTGGCCCCTCTGCCTCCATCGCGAGCATCGCCAGCTTCCTGAGCATGCCCTGCCTTACTTCCAGACCCTGTTCACTATGAGTTCCCAGGACCAGAACCTGGCCCCCTTCTCCGACGCGGACTACGACCAGCTGACCCAGCAATACGCCCTCCACCCTGTGAGTGTCTCCCAAGCCCAGAGAGGCTCCCGGCAGCCACCGCTCATTTGTGTACTTCCTTTTCTTAGGCCTCTCCCGGACACAAACTTTATAAAGGCACAGCTGTCAAAATGGAACGGCACTAAAATAGGAAAGGGCAGGCAAACCGCTGCCACAAGGGCACAGAGAGGAAAGCGAGCGGCATCACGCGAGGCCCCGGTCCGTACTGACACAAGCCCCTTTTTCTCGTACATCCCAGTCCGCCATGCAGTTCCTAGCAGACTACAGGCCCGAGGACATCGTTCTCATCAAGATCAAAAGTCACGCCAGTCTGCTTTGGGGAATCAGCCCCGCCAACAGGGAAGCCATGGTCAAGGAGCTGACCAACGCCACCACTATCCACATCACCACCTCCTGGACCATTCAGAGGTAACTGGGGCCAGTCAAGCCCACAGCCCGGCCCCAACTCCCCGGCTGGTTGTGGGAGCTTCCGGCAGACATTGCAAAGCTCTGAGCCCAGGTTTCAAAAGTAACGAGAGAGACTGACCTTGGATGAGGACCGCGAGGCGCCAGGCGCTGTGTCCGTCCTCCTGTCCCCTCCTGCGTGTCTTCTGCTCGCCTTTCGCTTCTCCCTTTTAAAAAACAATTTATATTTTGAATTTATGCACTGTTTGCCAGCCTTTCACTATGGTTACATTTTTAGAATTTTTGTTTTTAATTTCATCAAAGTGTAACTGTGAAACACTGAGAAGAGCGTATGCACGGGAAACACCTGCGTGCCAGTGTACACATATGCGCACACAACACATTCGCTGGGAAACAAATTTCCCATTCGCTGGGAAACAAATATGGACTATTAAAGCGTATATGAGGCTATCATGGTACTCACTATAGGTTGAACAGCTACGTATGTGTTTTTGGTACTTTTTTTGTCGGGGAAAAATTTAATGACAGTAACATTACAGAAGAGAGTACAATTTCCTAACACCCTGCCAGCTCATGCACATTAAAACCACTGTTCTAAATCAGTAATAAATCAACTCTCACTACATGTGAGCTCAAGTAATTCAAACGCAATTAATGTGCAATGTCATCATATAATCATGCAGTATGCCCTCGTTTGTAGAACTGAATTTCACACAGTCACAGAATACGTACCTAGGTATACAACTGAATTTCATACACAGCATCACAGTTTGTACAATCACTTATAAAATTGAATTTTTATGCAAGTAATCAGACTATACACTTATTTTTACAATTGGACTTCACATATATATAATCATATGGCATGATATCCTTTGTAAAACACCAAAACACACACAGACTCTGCACTCCTTTCTACAACTGAACTTCATATACACCTAATCACACACTATGCACTCATTTGTAAAAGCGAACCTCACCCAGGTACCACAGAGCATGCACTCATTTGTAGTTGAATTTCATACACAGGCAATTGTAATATATGGAGTGCTTTTACAACCATAGTTCATCTACAGGTCACCATAGAGGATGCATTCATTTTTATAAATGAACTTCAGATGTAGGTAATGACAGGTATGTGGTCATTTTCACAGATGAATTTCTCATACACGTATCAGAGATATGCACTCATCTGTACCACTGAATTTCATGGACACCTAATGATAGTATATGTACTCGCATGTGCAACTGAAACTCATACAACACAATGGTAGACGATGCTGTCATGTCCTCATTTGTAAACTGAATTGTGCATTCATATCATCTTATCACGCACACTCATGTACAACTGAATTTCAGACATATAATCTTATACTGTATTTCATTTGTACAACTGAATTTCATACACAATCATAGGATAGCCATTTTTCAAACAGAATTTCACACACTAGAAATGACAGAATGAAACGATTGGTACAACTTAAGTTCACATGCATGTAATCAATATGTGGATGCAATAATCTGTGTAACTTCATATACTCTATACACATATAATTATAGACTATGCATTCATTTGTACACTAAATTCCATTCATGGTCTTTCTGTTAAGTATGTCACACAAACATAATCATATAATATGAAATTATTTGTATAACTGATACAGACACACATTAACACATACACTCATTTGTACAACTGACTTTCACAAAATATGCAGTCATTTGTACAAATATCATACACATACAGAATATATGTTCTTTGTATAAGAAACCTCATATACAATTATTCATAGAAAATTCACTCATTTGGAAAGCTGGAGCATTACAGTTAATGCACTATTTATACAACTGAACTTCATACAAACATAATCATAGGATATGCACTCATTTATAAAACTGAACTTCATATTCAATAACCAGAGACTATGCAATCATAGTATAACAAAGGCATACACGTGTAAACAGACTTGCACACATTGGTAAATACTGAATTTCTTATACAAGAAATGACAGAATATGCACTCATTTGTACAATGCATGTAGCCTTTTCAGATGGACTCTCTTTTACTTAGTAATATGTACTGAAGTTCCTGCCATATGTCTTCAAGGTTTAGAAACGTACTTGCTTTTAGCAGCGAATTAATATTCCATTGTCTGGCTGTAGCATGGCTGGTGTGGCGAACAGTCTTTTATCAGTTATGCCCTTTGCATTCACTTTCTCCCAGTCTGTGGTCTGTCCTTTCATGCGCGACACTGCCTTTCACAGAGCAGAAAACGTTATTTTATTGAAATTCAACTTGTCAATTCTTCCTTCTTGTGGACCACGCCTCTGGTCTATGAAGCACACTCGACATGTGCTTCTCACTTCACATCACTCCTGAAACGGGAACCGGCGACTGCTGTGGCCGGCCATCCTCTTCTTCCACCTGGAAAGCTAAAGGGAACTTGAGTATTTCCTTTCTCCCAGGCGGAAGGTGAGAACTGGAAGGAGCTGGGCATTTACCTTCCCCAGGTCAAGCAGGTTTCTGGTAAGACCCAGTAGGTTAGTGTCTGGCTGAGCAGTAACTCTGAAGGGGGCTGGTTAGGAACAGATGTTATTTCCAAGCAGCTCCTTTTCCCCTTTCTGTGCCCGGGGCGCAAAGTGACGCGTGGGGTAGGAACTGCGGTTGACCTCTAAAGGTGAAAGTCATGAAAGTGCAGAGGTTCTTCGTGACTGGGTCCCCTTGGAGTTTGTTTGTTGTTGTTGTTTTTTTTTTTTAATCTCTAAGACTTGTCCACAGTGAGTCTCCCACAACTCGCCGCTCGCGGTTCAGTTTTCTCTGCCTCAATACTGGTTCAGTACAGAGGCTGGCACTTCATCTATCTATGATGTGCTTTCTGGGTTTCAGCTCTGGCAAATTGTGTCTCTGTATTTGCTTGTTGGTAGCCCTTATATAGGGGGCCATGGTTTGCCCTGTGACCTCACTCCTCTGATGTACCTAAGAAGCCTTGTGGCTTCTCAAGTTGCTCATCTTGGCTTCGGTTTTAGGTCAGAGTGGCAACTTGCAGTGTCTAACATGGCAGACTGGAAACCAGAAGTTGAGCGCTATGTTTTAAATTTTGGTTTCTACATGTTCATTTTTAGTATCTATAAACATGATTGATTTCTGCATGCTGATCGTGTATTTTGAGACATAGCTGAAATCATTCCCACTAGTTGTTTTTTTGTACATGCCTTTGGATTTTACATGTAGATAATCGTGTCATCTGCAAATAGTTCTTTCATTCTTTCCATCTGTGTGATTTTTTTTCCCTTGAATTATTACAGTAGTTACAACTTCCAGTACCGTGTTAAATAAGGACGGTGATACTGAACATCCTTGGCTTGGTCTTAATCATAAGAAGCAAGCATCCATCCTTTATCATAAATTATGATGTCAGCTGAAGATTTCTGCAGTTGCTTCCCTTCTATTCCCAGTTCACTGAGTTTTTATTGTGAATGGATATTGAATTTTGTCAAAGGCTTTCCTGCACCTGTTGAGAAGATCAATGTTTTTCTACTATGATATGTAGAGATGAATTACACTGATTTATTTTCTAACATTAGACCTGCCTGAGTTCCCAGGATAAACCTCCCTTTGTCATGAGATATATTAAAAATTGGATTCAATTTGCAAAACTTTATTGAGGAATTTTGCGTCTATGCTTATGAGAGAGACTGTTCTGTGGTATTCTGTTCCAATAATACTTTTGCCTAGTTTTGGCCTCAGAGCAGTGCTGGCTTCCTGATATGATTTCGGAAGTGCACTTTCTTTTATTTTCTGGCAAGGTCTGCATGTAAATGGTATTATTTCTTCCTTAAATGTTTGGTAGAATTCACCAGCAAAGTCATTTGGATTTGGAGTTGTCTTCATGAGGTTTCAAAGTTGAATTCAATTTCTTTCAGTTATAGGACTATTCTTATTCATAGTGAATGAGATTTAGTAATCTATGTCTTTTAAGGAATTGTCCATTTTATCTGTTGAATTTGACAAAATGTCCGTAACATTTATTTCCCTTTAATACCTAGAGAATCGTTAATGGTGGACTCTAATTCTGATGTTGGTAATTTATATCTTTTTCACCTTTATCAATTTGACAAGATATTTTCAATTCTATTGATGTCCACAAGAAATAAGCCTGCTCATACTGATTTTGCTGTATTGCTTTTCAATGTTCTCCTGGACCTTAGGTTTAACTTACCTTTCCTATTTTGGATTGTTACGGTAACATGTATTTCATTCAAGTTTTTTCTTACTTTTCTAATATAAGCAACTAATGCTTGAGATTTCCCTTTAATCATTAGCTAGCTGCATCCTACAAATTTTTTAGTTATATTTTTATTGTACCCAGCTCAAATATTTTATCTTTTCTAATTGAGTTCTTGTTTAATCCATGGATTATTTAAAAGTATACTCCTTTACTTTCAAATGCTTGTAATTTTCCAGATATTTTGGCACTGATTTTTAATTCTTTGTGGTTAAAGATTATTTGTCTAGGCCTCCCCTGGTGGTGCAGCGGTTAAGCGCTGAGCTGCGAGGCTGCCTGCAGCCTCTGCAGCACCAGTTCGATCCCCGGCCACAGGCGAGGGTCCCACCAAAAAAAAAAAAAATTTGTCTAAGCTGTTCCTTTAAAATTTATTGAGAGTTACTTTATGGCCTACAATATTTCCGGATGAATGTTTCATCTACCCATGAAAAGAATATATATCCTGCTGCTGTTACTGGTAGAATTGTTTAAGCATTCTATATCTTTACTGACTTACTGCTACTTGTGTGTATTTTTTTAATATAGTACAATTATTTCCTCTTAATGAATTGTCCCTTTAGTTACTGTGCAACAGTTCTCTTCATCCCGTAATATTCCTTGGCTCTTACATTCACTTTTTCTTATTTAATGTAGCAGCTACAGTGTTCTTTTGGTGTATTCTCTTTTTTCCATCTTTTTACTCTTACACATCTGAAGTGGGTTTCTTACATCAGGTA